CATAAAAAAAAATATGTATATCCCATCATTACATTTTCAAAATATAAAAGACAATAATTTTCAAGGAATAAAAAGAAAAGTTTTCATGAATCATATATTATTCATAATAAAAATAAAATAATTTATAATAAACTTGAATATGCTCGATGAGCTCTCGAATCAAGTACATAGATACTTGTGTTCAACTCGTCTATTTAATCGAACTGTTCGAATTTGACTCGAGTTCGGTCAAAGTCGAATTCAAGCCAAACTTTGACCAAGCTATTCGCAAATTGCTCGTAAAGTGCTCGGTTCGTTAACAGCTCTACGTGAACAACAATTCTCCGTTTTTTTTTAAAAAAAAAAAAAATCAATGTCCATTGTTTCTTTATTCGAGCAACTCGTCTTCGGGTCTGGGTGTTTTTACTATACAACTTACCACTACCAGACCAAAAGCCAGAAGAAAGCCCAAAATGTCAAAGAAAGGAAGTTTCAAAACTGAGTGGGCATGATCCCGTTGATTAGAAATTGATGTATGATAATGATTAGGGAAAGGAACCCATACCTTCCACAGTACAAACGTACGTTTAAAGAGAGTCAGCCCTAAAAATTGGATTCATCATACATACCAGACCGTACGGAGCTCAAAAATAAAAACAACGTCCGTCCCATGAAAGAAGTCATGTTAAATTTATTATATTAAATATATATATATTTTCTTTTTTTTTCCATTTTGCAGAAACTACTTTTATATTATACTAAAAATATTTTTTAAAGAAACATAATTCTAATTTTGTGACAGTTATCTAGTACTACTCACTCTGAATGAATCTCAAAACTCCTTCCGTCTTAAAATTATTATCCAATTTGAATTTTTATTCTTAGTTTAATTTATACTAAAAAATGAAAATCCAAACTGGACAATAATTTTAGGACGGAGAGAGTTTTTTAATTATTATTATTACTCCAATTTTTTTAAAATTATTATTACTCCAATATTGAGGTAAGTGGTTTTTACTTAATTCTGAAATGATTATGATGTTTATATTTTTAGTATTAGTAATAAATAAAATTGGATCATGATTCATGTAGTCTGAGCAGATGAGTCAATAATTAATGTGTAGCTAGTTAATTAATTATGCAAGGAAAAGTTTCTTAATGATGGTCCCTAAAACTCTAAAGCCGGTTATCATAATTTAGACCTTTAGCTTTCTGCAAAAAGGTTTAGTAAGAACTTCAAAGCATATGATAGCCTGACCTATCTCAATTTAGTTGAACCACCACGCTTTCAAAGAAAAAAAAAAGAAAAAGACGAGGCATAAAAGTTCTTTGTAGCGTGAAAAGGTTGCCTTTCTAAATTCATGTACGACATTGTGGACACTTGTTCTTTTTTCTATGATCAATCATCTTTGTTAATTATTACCATTCACTTGCAACATAATTAGAGTGTCTAAGGAACAATCATTTATTCCGTTCGAAGAACAAAGTGTTGGATCGTTAATATTGAACTAAAACAATAAAGTACAAATGTTAAAATTTTAAATCGGAAAGAGTAGTAAGATATACTAGTTACTTCCGTTCCAGAAAAATAGTCCACGTTGAGTTTTCAAATTTGTACTAAAAATAGTACACAATTTAAAACTCAATGTAGAATATTTTTATGGAATGGAGGAAATACTTTCTGTATCTAAAAAAATAGTACACATTACATTTTTGTTTATTTGTACTTTAATTTTTAGTACATATCACAAAATATAATGCAAATTATTTTTTTTTCAGATAGAAAGAGCATATGAAATTGAATAGTTTAATAAGCGATCACGATTACCTTTACAACCTCATAATCATGAGGTAATGAGTCTGAACTTTAACGGGCCAATGACACATGATAATGAAAAGATTACTTTAAGAGGGGGAAAATATACGCTTTTTCTTTTTACAAAAATTAGCATGTCCAAACTCTGTACGATATATTTGTTGAAATGCGTAACTGAAGTAGTAGTACACATGCAATCGGGGAAAAGATGATTTTTTATTTTTTTCGGCAGAACCAATGCAACGCGTAAAAATTAAAAGAAAAGGTGTTAATACACTCCTACTCCATTGGATAATTGAAAGTTGCCTCTGATTTTTCTCCTCTTTTTAGTTTATCTAATCACTGAATAGTTACTGCTTCAGTGTCGATAAGAAATTTTACTACATTTTATTTTATATACTTCAAATTGAAGTTTCATTTCATGTGTTGAAATACAATTGGATATTTAGCATACAATTTTTCAATTTAAATCATGTTAATTTTAAGTCATTAAACTTGACCGCTGTCACCGAAACTCAAATGTTATGGACAATCCATTATGATGGTGCTGAATGATTCGATAATAATATGACATGAAAGGACATAACTAATTAGGAGATAGTAAAAGTCACGGTATGATTTATTATTATTTTTCGAATATTGTTAAAAGTATTTTGATTTTACTTTGTGCAGATTATTAAAACGACTTAAATACCCCAAATTTCTCATTTTTCTCTTTTCTTTATTTTCCTTTTTCCTTGTTAAACGCAGTTCAAAATTCCTAAAATTAGAGGAACTCCTCGTCTTCGAGGATTATTTCTCACAACTTGTAAAAATAAAATAAAATCGTCCAGACGCTCAACTTTATAAACACTGAGAACCAAAAGATGGAAGAAAAGGCCCCTGAATGTTAAATTGTAGTCTAGTTTTACTCTAATACAACAAGTTACGACATTTATCGATAGGGCTGCTGGTTAATCGGGCGAACACGAAAACCCGCCCGAACCGAACCCGTTCCGAGGCAAACGATTCGGATAATCGGGTTAATTTCGGAGTTTTCGATTCTACCCAATTAATCGAAGAGATAATTTGATTCAGGTGCGGGCGGGAAAAAATACTACGGCCCCCGCCCGAAAACCCGAACTATTAATTAAAAAATATATACTAGTTTCCCTTCTCACCTCATTTCTTTGATTCTTTCTTCGTTAAAAAGGACAGCCGGCTGCCACCTTCCCCAACATCATCTTCATCTCTATTCTTCAATCACCATCTCCAAATCTCAACAACATCAATCTCTTCATCTCCCGTCTCCATTCACCATCTCCAAATCCCACCTTTCTTCCCCCCTTCATCACTCGCCCAAAAAGGATAAGAAAGCAATTTGAATTGACTCGTCCGCCAGAAGTAGGAGAAGAGAAAAACGACCGCGTGAAAATAAGGAAGAGGAAGAGGAAGTTGGTTCCAGATCTGAATTGACTCGTTCTGGTGGTGCTTCACTCGATCTCTCCCTCTTTATTCAAGATCTGAATTTTTGGAGACTTGGGAATCTTGGGATTGTTGTTTTTTATTGTAGGCTTTATGAAAATTATTGTTTTTTTTTTCTAGATATGAACTTTCAATTTTTTTTTTTTAATTTAGTTCATTATTTCTTGTGATTTTTTCTTGAATTGATATGGAATAAATTTTGGGACATTGTTGAATTCAGAAGAAAAAGACACTGAATCTCAATTCTGTTTTCTGTATGTTAATTTCGGTTGGTCCGGAAACCGAACCGATTAACTCAAGTTTTAATTGTTCGGTTTGGCTCGGTGCAATAGATTTTTTGGTTCGGTTTCGCGCGGGTCTCGTGAGGAAAAAAATCCGATTAATCCGAACCGAATTCACCCGAACCGCACCGAACTATCTGAATTAGCAACCCTATTTACCGAGAAGATAAAGGGAACGATCATCCCCTATTAAAAAAAAGTTGCCCGTAAAATTATCTGTTGGTATGCTGATTTTACATGTTCCTCTATTTTACCGAGAGAGAGAGAGAGAGAGAGAGAGAGAGAGAGAGAGAGAGAGAGAGAGAGAGAGAGAGAGAGAGAGAGAGAGAGAGAGAGAGAGAGAGAGAGAGAGAGAGAGAGAGAGAGAGAGAGAGAGAGAGAGAGAGAGATGGTTCGAATGAAAAAGGTCAATGTTGATGATCCTTTGAAAGATATGATTGACCCAATGACTCGTTCAAGAAGAAAGAAAAATGTAAAAAATCTGGGCTAACTTAATCACTACAAACCATTCCAAATAGACTTTGTCACGACCCGGAGCCCGGAGAGGTGGCCGGAAAATAGAAAGGGAGAATTTGACACAAATCGAGAAAATCCAGGGTTCAGGAATTGGGAGAACGGAGAAGAAGAGAGAAAATTGGAATTATCCAATTTTATACAATACTTTTTGATAATCAATTTTACAGGCCCAGGGACTATGTCCACACATTTCTGGAAATGACACTCTACCCCTATAATTTTTTAATCCTTACAGATAAGTCCAGGGGTATGACAAACCCCTCCCCTTAAAACAGTCTTGTCCCAAGACTGTGGTTACAAAAGAAAGCCACTCACTATAGCCTGAAACAAAGGCTACACAGCCACAAAAGGTAAGTAACTAAGAGATATGAGTCACTAAAAACCTGAAATGAGAATAGGAACAAAAATGAAATGCCAAAACAATGAAACTGTCACTCCCTTGAAGCTAAGCCAAGCGATCCTCCACACAAAGCTTGATTTATCAAGTGAGGTCGCATGTTTTCTGTGAACTTCAAAGGTTAGGGTGCCCCTTCTGAAACAGGTTGCCTTTCCAATCTAATTTCCCATTTCCAGAGACTTGCTTCCGCCTCTAAAATCAATTACCAAAAGAGTCCAGGACTGATGTTTTCTGTTTGCGAACTTGAATAACCTTCGACCATACTCCACTTGCACGGTGGATATCCCCGGATCCCAAACATTACAAGAAATCCCTCCATATAGTTTAGACACCTTGTCAGCTTCGCCATATTCAAAAGCAAGTAATTCAAATGGAACTAAAGATGTAATCATTCCTCCAAGATCGTATGGCGAAAAGACACCGTAACTCCAAGGGAAATGATTTGCACTCAGCAAAATGTTGAAAATGACAGTGCCATCAACCGAGAACGACCCCAGCAAAGGATCCCAAATTTCAGCATCTTTTGTGAATAACATGGCTTTGACACCTAGAACAGTGGAATTGCTTCCTGTGATGGTCTTACAGTACACCTCTCCTGAAAATGAACTTTGACAAATCTAAAATATGTACCAAAACAGTTCTTCAAGAAATAGCCACATTGCTCTACTACCAGTGCTGCAAATCTTCCTTCAAAAAGATTTGTGCTTCCTCTAAAACTTGTTGCCTTCTCGATCCAACTCAAGTGTAACTCCTCATTGTTACAGGATGCATCAGGATTCTGCTTTGACACTGCTCCAACAGCTTCGCTCAGTTGTGTCTTCATCCCTGCTGGGATAATCAGCTTCCCTGTTAGACTTTGAAATTTTAAACAAGGAAGTTGTAGCTTCTGTTCCCCACGAATCAGTTGCCACAGTGTTGATGGTGCTTGCCAAATGGTGCAAAGCAATCTTCCAAACAAAGTTAACTCCATTTCTCTCATGCCATCCTTCCTTTTCATGTTTTGGAAGAGGAAGATTGTCCTAAAGGTTGTTGGAATTCCTGTACGAGTGATACTTACCCCGCAGTAATTTCAGCCCAGGAATTCTGCAACTACAGCTACAGAGTAAAAGCATCATCACACCGTAAACATCAAGCTGCCTAATACTACATAGAGCAATTCCTCCTTTGAATAAGGTTACCATTCTATCCCGACTCATAAGTAATCCTGTTCTAATCCACTTGTATTCCAGCATCTTAGAAGAATATGAAAGAACTTTGACACACAATCCCCGCTGGTTAAAGAGACCCTTGTCCTCAAATAAGAAAGATGAGTCGCAATTCCCCATCATTGCCAAAGAGATAATACAGAATCAACCTTAACCTCTGACTGAAACATTTTCATACTCGACAGCTTGTTTTCAACGTCATTTTTTAACTGCAAACTATTTTCCAATAAGTAACCATAACTTACACAGGAAGCTCTAATTCTCCTCTTAAAATCAGAAGCATATTCTTCTTCCAAAATAGACCCAATCAAATCAGGTAGACTAGATACAACTTCAATGACCATCCATGCAATTTTAAAACCAAAATTCATAGGAGATGCACAATATCTCAATTTGACACACTCAGCAGGGAAGGAACAATTTCCAAACAGACTGGTTTCTGGAAGCTCATAAAATGTTACAGCTGGAACACCCATATCAGGGGAACAAACCCAAGAAATCTCAGTTATCTCCTGTGAGTATTGAAGTTCATTTGAATCATCCTTTTCATAAAATATTGACAGCTGTAAAGTGAAGTCTTGAAAATCACAAAATCAATATTGAAGACTGTGAAGTCAAATCTGAATTTAAGTCTTTTTCATAATTGCACGAACTAAAATCAAGATGCGTTTAGTTGTCCACTTATTTAAAGATCATAAATATTAGTTTTAGTTATGCTATCAAACAGACGAAAGAAACAAAAACACATATAAATTGTAACGGTCGTCCTCCTTTCCTGTGCTTCCTAGCTCCTATCACCATGGGGGGAGATTGGAGATATAATAATGATGACTCACATGTGCTTTTCTTATTTGATTTCATTGCAACATAATCTTTGCTAATAATCGGAAAAACGGCTAATAATTAAACTGACCGCAGCCTGGGAAGGAAATAGTTGTTTAATTGTGATGATATTTATAATATCACCGTGCTTATCACTCCTTAAATAAGTAAATTAATAGTAAAAGATAAAAGGCAAAAAAGAAATCGAAAAGGGCAAAGAAAGAAAAGGTAAAAAGAAGAAGACGATGATGAAGATCCACCGTGCAAGTTAGTTTAAAAACGGCGGGTGAAAAAAAAAAGAAGAAGGAGAAATACTAGTAGGGGAGAATTTTTAACCCCCTATAAACCGGGATGGGACCGGGGAAATAGAAATAAAATAAAGAGGAGTCGTAATAGAGGGGCACAGAAGCCAAGTCGGAAGTGGGATGGCCACACGTGCGCACATTTGACAATGGCAACTCCCAAGAAAGAGAAGAAGCTTTCTCGGTATTACGAAGACCTTTCTTTTTTCTTTTCTTTTTCTTCCTTTTTTTTATTAATAGTGTGTTCTTTAATCACCTTCAATGGACTAAATTACCCACCCACCCCTCTCTTATTTAGCCCAAACTTATATTGTTACGTGTCATTTTGATTTCACAATATTATTTTTTCAAGAAGTTTAAATAATTGAGTTGAGATTATTTACTCAATTTTATTTTATTCAATATTTATTCGTCGGCAATTGAAAGTTTCAAAAACGAAAACAACAAGTGGGAAAAGTGTTTATGCACGTGTCTCTAATTTATCAAAACTTCCAACAAGTGTTACTTATATTTACAAACACCTGACAGATGTAAGGAATTCTTCAACCACTATTCGTATTTGAATCAAGTAAAAATCTAGCTAGTAGGTACATTTAGACTACAAACATGCATTATTTCGAAAAGATTCTTACTAATCACAAAATCTTAACCAGCTAATGCAATGTAGACAATTATAAACTATTTAAGTAATTTACATAAGCTATTCTTGTTACACAGATAAATTTTAAAGTTATAAATTACAATTCCATTTGTGCATGAGATTGATACGTACAAAATGTACATGGCAACAAAAAAAAAAAAAAAAATTGGAGAAAAGAGTACAAACCTCAAGTAGCACATCTACTTCTATTAATTCTTCTTTTGAATTTCAAAATAGAAGGAGCTGACGTTTTCTATCCCATCCCATATCTTCAATTAATTCTCACTTTCACTTTCACAAAATCCCAATTTAACCAAACACTACAAATCATTCTAGTCACATGAATGCACACAAACATAGAATTGTACATCCAAACCTAATAAATACACCACCTAAACCACATGAGTTGCAATAAAAGAGAAAATCCCATCTGGTGTGAACCTTAACACCAATTTGGCAATTACACCATTTATTATTGTTGCCATGTAAAATTTCAGGAGCACCTAGTAAATATATTTGAGTAAAATTGGTATCGACAGAAAATGATTCATAAAATGACTCGAAACCAATACATATATACATGAAAAAATGTTAAATAATATGTAAATATATTTAGTTAAATAATTCAATAGCTGATAAGACATATATAAACGAATAAATACGTTAGTCAATTTAGCTAGTGAAACGATACCGTAACTGATATTTGGCGTATATTTACACATTTTAATTGTTATTATCCTAAATCTAACATGGTTAATTCTGTCATTTCATCAGCTCAGGCCCCACCCTCCCCATCAGTTTAAAAAGCAACACCAGAACCTTAGCCCCTACAAAATCGATAATTAAAATCATAATTATTAACAAAAAAAGGAAAATCAATTACCAAGTCATTGCCGTGTTTGACCTCCAAAGCTTTCTTATTCAGTTACAATCTATTCATACAAGTACTACTAATATATCTATAGCTCTCTCTATTACAATTTTTTTTTTAATAGTATTTTTCTGTAAGCTCGTTGTGGTTTGATCTTATTTTTTTATATTCTGTTCGAGAAAATCCAATCCATTTTTAATCAAAAAGAAAATAAAATTGTTTCCTTTGTTACTGTTCTTGTTGTTGTTGGTTTAGATGCGATCGGAGTGGAGAAGCCTTGGTTTGGTGAATTTCGATTGAATTTTGGTTTTGATTGATTACAGAAAGTGAGTTTTGGGAGAGCGGAGAAATGAGAGGAGTGAATGGAATAGGAGTAAGCGGTGGCGGCGGTGGTGGCGGTGGAGGTGGAGGCGGAGGCGGAGGAGCTGGGAATAGTACCCTGGACGTCATAAACGCGGCGGCTAATGCGATCGCCGCCGAGGAGAATCGCCCGCCGCCAGCTGTGGTTCAGGTATATGAACGGAAAAATTACTGTGAAATGGTTGATTTTGGTTCGGAATTCTTGTTTATTACTTTCGATTGTGTGAATTTTAGCATGGAGTGATTCTGTTTTGAACGCTGTTGATGGATTTTTCAGCTTATGATTTGTGTGCTTTGTTTGCATGTATGAGCTTCTGTGTGTTTAGCAGTGTATTCGGGGGTTAAATTTGAGATCTAATGATGATGAATTCTAGTTTTGTTTCCGTATGGAATGGTTGAATTTTATTGAAATATGATTATTTCTTCATATTTGTTTTTGCATTTGTTTGTTCTTTTGGCGTGATGGCTTTCAATAAGAAGAAATGGATCGGTTCTGCTTCAGAATTCTGACCTTTCTTGTGAAATTCTATTTTCAGTGAAAAGTTTCCACTTTTTAACCCTATGTAAGGCGGGAATGAGGGAACTGACACCTTTATCAAGCAAGTGATCTGTTAGAGATGAAAATTGTTTCAGTGTTTCACGCGTCCCACTTTTTTGTTGAAGATTCATTTGATTTCTAAGTGAAATTTTGGAGATGGTTTTTATTGATAAATGTGGGGTTTTTGGGATGTCAAGAATCAAAGATACCGAAAACCTTTTCAGATTTACGTATAAAGTCTTTAGACGTACCATGTGGTGTAGTATTATTTGAGGCGATACAGGTCACAGGCAGTTGTTGACAGTTTATAAGTTAATATGGAATTTGGTTTTGTTTCTGTCGCGTCTTTAAGGCAGTTACTGCCTCTTTCATTGATTTACTTACACGCTGATTTGATTGAAGATTCGCTTTGGATGGGTTACTTTCAAATTGGTTGCATCTCAATCGATACTTTCCTTTTTAGAAATGTATGACATACACGTGTAATTTCTTGTTTGGTGTGGCGAAAAATGTGTGTAGATTTAGAGTTCTTTGTGTCGAAAGAGACAATGTACTGAAAAGCGTGACCGCTTTGATGTACACAAAGTGTGTGTGGACTTTTATAAACCTTGCCCAATGGGTGGATTTTTGTATTTATGACGTATGACTTGGGAATGAAGTGCGGGGTACTAGGTACCCACAGATGCATCTGACTTGGACATGCTTTCCGAGTATGACAAGAGTCACTGTGGGGGTTTACGTCAGGTTCATTCCTCTTTGAAATAGAAGCTGATTGCATGGTTTCCATGTGGTATTAGTGCCGCAAAAGTATGATGTGTTTGTTTTTAAAGCTCCGAAGAGTGGCCATGGTGTCCCAGTGGAAAAGTTTTAATAATATTCCCTGTTGCTCTTTTTTCACAAAATTGAGTTTATTGTTGACTATGTTATGGAATCTTCTGGGGCATGTTGATTGTTTTCTTTTAAGTGATTACTCAGTTACTAGTTTTGGCCATCCTGTTTGGATGCCGCCCCTCCTGAGTTGGTGAAGTGAAAACTTTCAGATGACGTTTGTCCTTGCCGAAATATTATTGATCCCATCAATTTTGTGGTTATATTTTGCAAAAGATGCCTACTGTATGAAAAATCACATGTCCTTTCTTTCTGTTATAGCTGAAACTGATAACTGATGGCCGTTGCCATCTTTTCAGCCGAAATATTAATTTTCATGAGTAGTGCAATTATTCAGTGCTGCATTTGTCTTACTCAACGTTTCGTTCTATTTCCTCTCTTTTCCAGAAGAGAAGATGGACCAGCTGTTGGAGCCAATATTGGTGTTTTGGATCTCACAAACACACGAAGCGGATTGGACATGCCGTACTTGTCCCTGAACCCTCGGCAAGACTGGATCCTCCTCCTGCTGAAAACCAAGTTCAAGCAGTCTCCATCGTGCTTCCCTTTGTTGCACCTCCATCCTCCCCAGCTTCTTTCCTTCATTCGGAACCTCCCTCTGCAACGCAATCACCAGCTGGACTAGTTTCCTTTAATTCTATATCTGGAGGCATGTATTCGCCTGGTGGTCCTGCATCAATGTTTGCTATTGGCCCCTATGCCCATGAGACCCAGTTAGTTACTCCCCCAGCTTTTTCAACCTTCACAACTGAACCATCTACTGCTCCCTTTACTCCCCCACCGGAGTCTGTCCACATGACTACACCTTCCTCGCCTGAGGTTCCATTTGCTAGGCTTCTTGACCCTATTCACCAAAATGGTGAAAGCGGGCAGGCATTTGTTTCGCCTCAGTATGAATTTCAATCATATCATCTGCAACCTGGAAGCCCTCTTAGCCATTTGATATCCCCAAGCTCAGGCATTTCTGGTTCAGGTACCTCCTCTCCCTTTCCAGATGGTGAATTCTTATATGGACGTCCCCACTTCCTTGAGTTCAGAAGTAGCAATCCTCCTAAGCTATTGAACCTTGAAAAGATCGCGCCCCATGAATGGGGCTCGCGAGGTTCACAGCTAGGATCTGGTGCTATTACACCCGATGCTGTACCACCTAGGTATTACAATGGTCTTACCCAGGATCAGAAGAAATCTGATGTTACTGCACTTCCCTACTCACATAATCCCTTGAGAAATGATGAAACAGCTGTTGATCACCGGGTTTCTTTTGAGGTAACAGCAGAAGATATCATCAGGTGTGTGGAAAAGAAATCAAAGGCAGGGTTATCCCTCCTTGGTAATGCTGACTGTAATGTTAGAAAACAGGATACTCAAACAGAAATGGCTGGTGGACATGAATGCTGTGCTGGTGAAACCTCAAGAAATGCATCTGGAAGAGTTTCTACTGATGGGGAGGGTGTGCAGTGGTATCAGAAGCAGCGCTCAATCACCCTTGGCTCTGCAAAAGAATTTAATTTTGACAGTGTGGATGATGTAAATTCTGATAAGCATATTGTTGGCCCTGACTGGTGGGCAAATGAGAAAGTTATGGGGAAGGATGGTGGGGCAACTAAAAACTGGTCATTCTTTCCAGTGATACAGCCAGAAGTCAGCTAACTTGTTCTGTGCAGCACAAAAGATTCTTGCCTGGCTCGTTTCCTTGAAGGCCTGACCAAATGATTGTTATATACACAAGGTTCTGATTTCATTGTTACATCACAGGACTGACCTCACCTCGGTGGCGTTTTTTGCTTACTAACGTTAGGAAAGAGCGAAGGCGAGATAATACCTAGATTAGGAAGGGATATTATGTCTTTATCTTGTACCAAAAGCAGACTTGTAAAATCGGCTTAGCAACATTTAGATGTTGGATATTTCCTTTGTGATTTGTAAGATAAGTAGAAGGAGGTAGAACAACCAGCATTGGCAACGCTTGGGATGATGTTGACAATTGGGGCAGCTTAAATTTTAATATGCTTTTGGGCAATACTCTGTCTTTTCTTCTGTTTCCTGTTTCTGGGTTCTTGAACACTGGTGCCCTTGAAATGGCCATGTTGTAGAGTTAGTGTCCTTGAGATGGCCATGTTGGAAATCCTGAGATGGAAGAAAGGGGTAAAGAAGCATAAACCTGAGGAAATGTAAAATTTGTATTCATCATAATTCTGCAAAGTCTAGATCGGATCCACACATACTCTTTGTTTGACTTAAAAATAGTCTTCATAAACTCAATTTTATTTACTAAATTTGAAGATTGAACTTATTTCTTGAGTAGAATCCAAATCGGGCTTCATTTGTTAAATCCACACTCGGAAGAACTATGCTGAAAGAAATTGGTTTTTTTTTTTTTTTTTTTTTTATAGTTTAAAGTAATACACACCCACATTGACTCTTGGTACAAATTAATTGACTGGAGAAGTCCATACTTCTTCATTGGTCTATTGATCATGCCAAGACTAACAATGTTTTCAATGAATAGATTAAGAAATGTTAGTAGTAAATAAATCCTCCTATCACATTCACATATCCATTGTAGTACATTTTAGATATTCATTTTTGAAAAAAAAAATCCAAATTGAACAATTATTACTTATCTTTCTTTTATTTATTTATTTTTGGGATTCAGGTGCTTTGGTAATTGAAATTCTTCTTTTCCTTGCATAACTGAGTTTGCTCCATTCTCACATGTTCTTTTATTTAGAATGTTGGCCATTGGCAGAAGGAAATTAGAAGAATCACAGAAGCAGGAATCTTTTTTTTTTATTTTTTTAAGAGAGATTTGTCAACTCCGAAAAGGTATACTTGTCAAAACAGCAGATCTAAAAGCCTGACGAAATAAGGCACTCTTACCAACCAAGCAGTTTTCCTTCTTGATTCCAGAAATACGGTCCATATTGGAATGCTATTATCACCAGTTTCGTGGGCTGTTCAACAAACACAAGACCAATATTAAAGTAGTATTTTTCTTTTCTCTTGCATTTTGTTTTCTATTTTGACCACATGCCCTATTTGACCTTCTAGATTGGCAGGCGGGTACCCAACCAAAATCAGCTGGCTTTCGCTTTTCCAAACCTCTTCAAAAATCAGAACCTAATCCCCTTCTTCGATTCTTCTTCATCATTCATCATCAACTTTTTTTTTTTTTTCTATCTTTATTTCACCATTCTCCTTCTTCACTTCTCTGATTTACAGTGCCTGAATCTTTTTTTTTTTTTTTTCTGGGAAACTCCTCCATTGCTAGGATTCGATTCAATTATCTGGGGTTATTCTTTTCTTTATCATCCATCCATCGTTATCTAGATTCTGATTCTTTCGATTTGCTGTATTGGTTGTTAGTTTGTTACCAAAGATTTAATCTTTTTCCGATTTGAATATCAGGGTTGTCAACCATTTTCGTTCTTCTAATTGTTACAATTAATTTCAGTCTTCAGAGCCCTTGAGTTTATTTGTGAAAAAAGTGGAGAGAGATTGGGTAAGGTCAAGAGGTGACATAGCAATGCCACCTTTTGCAGGATCTAAGCCTTATTCGGAAGGGTTCTACTCAAATTCTGGAATTTCAAATTCAAACATTGTCACGATTGATGTGGGTGGTCAGGTTTTCCAAACCACTAGACAAACCCTATCTTTAGCTGGCTCCAATTCCATCTTTTCCAAGCTTTCAAACGTTGATGGCACGATCCCTTTTCTGGACAGAGATCCGGAGCTTTTCTCTATTCTTCTTTCCTTGTTAAGAACTGGGAATCTTCCATCCAGAGCCAAGGCTTTTGATGTTGAAGATCTTATTTTTGAGTCCCAATTTTATGGTATTGAGAATCTGCTCATCAATTCCCAGTCAAATCCATCCCAATTCGAAGCCTTTAATCTCGATAAGTCTTTGGTTTTACCCCTGAACGGTAGGGACTCACCTTCAACTATCTCAACTACTCCCTATGGCTCAGTTCATGTTGCTCATGGTTGTAAAATCACCTCCTTTGATTGGTCATTACAGAGGAAAGCTACCATTTTGACCCAGTTTACTGCTATTGATTCCCTATTAGCATTGTCCCCCCAGATAGTGGCTGCTGGTGCTACTGACTTTTCAGGGTTGCAAATTATTGATGCTGATAAGGGTTTTGTGAGGCAAACCTTGAACTGGGAAAATGTTACCAGGTCATCTTCAACTGTGCAGGCTATTGGATCATCACCTGAGTATTTGTTCACAAGTTTTGAGTCTGGTAGGCGGAATTCAAATTGCATTATGGTTTATGATTTAAATGATGGTTTTAGGCCTGTTACTAGCGTTGGTCACTGTGAAATATTTGGTGCTGAGTTGGATTCTGGCATTCCAGCCACAAAATTACAATGGGTTCCGAGTCATAATTTGTTGATGGCTTCTGGTTTTCATAGTGGACCTTCTGGTGTATCAGGAAATATTAAGTTTTGGGATATAAGGTCTGGGATTCTTGCCTGGGAACTTAAGGAAAAAGTTGATTGCTTTTCTGATGTTACAGTGTCAGATAGTTTTTCAGCCGTGTTTAAGATTGGTATCAATTCTGGTGAGGTTTTCTTCAGTGATTTGAGGAATTTAGGTGATGAGAATTCTTGGGTTTGTCTTGGAGATCAAAGGAAAGTCATCACCGGGAAGAAGGAAGGTTCTGGATGCACCATTGAGAGCCATGGAAATCAAGTATTTTGTAGTAAAGGAGGAAATGTAGAGTTATGGTCTGAGGTTCAGATTGGTTCTTCTGTAAGGGGTGGAGATGGAAGAGCACAGGAACGAGTTTTTAGGAAGAACTTCATGGGAAGAGCCAAAGATATGGGAGGAAACAGGATAACACGCATGGCTTTTGGAGGGAACAAAATGTTTGTGGCGAGGAAGGATCAGCAATGTGTTGAGGTTTGGCAGAGTTCAGTTAGAGGATTTTAAGGTTAAACCTAGATTATAGTTATGTAAAGTAATTATTTGATTGTAATTTGTGAATAGATTTTGCATTTTTGATTCCCCATCTTCAATTCATTGATCCATCTAAGATCTGTTTCCATTTAGAGGTGGCATTATTGTGTTCCTAACATTTGTCTCTGCAGTAATGGTTAATGCCAGTTTTCAATAAACATGGAATGCTTTTTGCTGTTAAAGTTGTTGAACCAAACTCTGTTTGAAATTGAATACGAAGTGCATTGTTGCCAGACTTTTTAGTCTAGATTCTGCTTATTGGTGGTGATATCATGTACTCATTTGGTTTGATAATAATAATCTTCCTGTTACCATATACCATCTCTGCTGCCTAAATGTGTACTAATATTGTTGCATTGTAGAGATTAGAGAACATGGAGTGTGTGCTTAGGCCTTTTTCCATTACAACTTTATCCTCTCTTCTGTTTGGTAATTTTGGATTGTTGCACTTCTTCCAACTACGCGCCTTCTTCCTCCTATTTCAAGTGGTAACTGGGCTTCTATATCATTAGGATATCTGCAATTAAAGTGATTAGATATTGTATGCTAAAGATGGCTGACTTCCTCACAAAATGTCACTCATTTGGTAAGATTGATGACATACCTGGCATTATGGTTTTGCTATATAGTCATTTGGATGGATCAACATTTTGTGTATGGCGTTTCCAAGCGTTTCTTATACACTTGGATTGACATCCAGAAGTAAGAATAACATTAGAGGAATCCTGTTTTGTTTGTTAGCTGGATTTTATGTTTTGTTATTTTATTGTTGTAAATTAGCAACTGGCACAGTCAGACCTAATCAGTAAATCAGAGAAATCGGTTCAAAAACTTGAGTAGGATTCCTTCTTTTTTTCTTTCATCTTCTTAAGCTGCCGAACGACCTGAAAGGATTGAGTCATACATTTGTTTTCTACTACTACAAATATCTTACTCAGTTTGCGGAATATTTTTTCCGTCTCATTTTAATAATAATTTTTGTAAGTAAAATTTCTCCTCTCTATTGTCCTTTCAAGACCTAGAGTTGTAGAGAGTATGATTGAATTGTCTATCCAAATGACAGTGGGAATTGTTTTTTCTTACTCGTTTCCAATCATAATCACACAACCCTCAATTTTTTTTTATTGCAAGTGAATGTAAATTATTTGGAAGTTCAACTTCTTAAACCAAAATGTGTGAAAAGGTCCAAAAATTTCACATATTTATTCATTATTGTATTTCAATCTTTAAAGTATACACGATTATGCATGCATATTTAATCATAATATTGTACCACTATTTAAATTTGCGTTATAAGAAAATCATCATGCCATTGGATTTTCTGTTTTCAACCAAGCCAAGATTTTTAGTCACGCCAAATAACAATAACCCTTCAAAGAAAGTACAAAAAAAAAAAATCGTCTCATCAGACTTTTGAAAAGTTATTATTCAGTGGATGATAAAGATTAAGAGCGCGTCAGAAATGCCACTCTTTTTTTTTTTTTTTGGGAACTATTTTAACTTTTTTTTTTTTTTAAACGCAATCAAAATGTTGAAAAAAAAATGAATAAAAAGTCCAGAAAGAACAAACAAATTAAAACCGCAACAAAAGTTAGATGGGAAAAGAGAGTTGCTCATAGACATTGTCACCTTCCATTATGTGATGCAAATTAAATATGGTTGAGCTTTCATAATTATTGGCATGTCACTAGTCATTTCTTTAATTTGTTCCAATATATGACGAATTTGTATTTTAAAATATTAAATAAATATTTGCTGCAAAATCTATGTTTAAAATGACAAAATTATTTTTTAAAATAAATTAATCGTACTAGGGGTTCTGCTGGCCAGACACATCAATTAGCCCATCGAAATCATGCAATCTGTTTGGATTTGTTGAGACTATTTGGCTTCGTCAATTGGTTTTAGTATTCTCTTGTCTCAATCCACTTAGATTTGAGGTAATGACGTTGTCAACGAGAGCTAAGGTATTTTCGAGCCCACCTCCAAAAATCATTGTTGGTAGTAATTTTTTATTTTATTTTATTTTATTTTTTTGCAAGTCCACATTTCTTCCGTGAAATTCTTCACTCTGCTACCTTTAACAATGTCAAGAGTTCAAAAAAACTAGGTAGCCAAATGATAGTAAAATTTATTAATATTATTAGTAATAGTTGTCGGAAAACTTTTCTTTTTTTAAAAAAAATAGCTTGAAAATTTATTTATAATATAGTTGTCCGAAGACATTATGATTTCTCTAATATTTCATTTAATACATTACTCTAATTGAAAATAAAACTTTAAAAATGTATATTCAATTAAAAACTTTAAGATTTGCTCTAATATTTTAAATATGCATATCCATTGTACTCCTCCAATTAATATAAAAACTTTTTAAAATTTTATTTTTCAATTAAAAAATAATATGAAATAAAAGTTAGAACAAATCAAAATATTTTATAATAAAGACACGAGGGAATATAGCATAAAATTGCCCTGAACTAGAGGTGCTTTGGGTAAAATTACCCATGACCCCCAGTATGGTTGTTAACAATTTTTAGGTTTTGTAGGCTCTTCTTGATCCGAAATAACATTCCTTCTATCGCGAAATTATTGTCTAATTTAGATTTTTATTTATAATATAAATTGAATTAATAGTGAATACCTGAATTGGATAATTATTTTGAAATATAAAGAGTAATTATTATTATTATTATATAAAAAGACATTTTCATTCGTGACATCTTGTAAAAGTAGTTAAGTTTTGGAATTGTTCTTCATTTTACTATTCTTTTTATTTTAAAATAAAAAATTGTATTTATTCAAAAAAAAAGAAAGAAACAAAACTTCTTCTTCTTCCTTTTTTTTTTTTTTTTTGGAGACGAGTATCATACAAAACCTTAAGACATTATTATAATTTATAAAGTTACTCAGCGCAAACTTTTTCATTTTTAAAACTTCCATGACATTTTTTAATTTTTACATTTTTAAAACTTCCATAATTTATAAAGTTACATTTATGGCATATTGCGTGGGAGGTCGACGGCAACATCAACTGTATCCATCAAAAACATTTTATATTAATTGTGTTATGCACATCATCAAGGATGCACAATCAATTATGGCAATTTTTATGGCCTAAACGACGTTTAGATACTACTACTACTAAGATTAGCTATTATTATTATCACACACAACTTAATACTAGTAACGTTTCTTCCTTTTCGATATCTACCCTTAATTAATTAGTTCTCTACTACTGCGTACTTTAACGTTTGGGGATGTTGTTTACTGATTAGAGATAATTAAATGTCCAAATTGATGATACAAGAAGTGGTCACCGTTATATTCCATAAGTAACATCAATAAAAATCACCAGAGTAATCAAAGTAAAGTTTCTTAATTCCGTTAGTTAAAAATTAAAAAATGGCATAAAATGGAGTTTGACTGAATATAATTAAACCCTACGTATGTAGGTTTCAAAACTCTAATTAGTTGATTTGTTTTCGGTGTTGAAGAGTATTGAGGTGTTAATGGGTTAAATTAAATGGCCTTAAAACGTAGGTGATCAGCAGGGAGTAGGCCACAAAAATCATTAAAACTCTTTTTTACTACCCATCACATGGTTACGAGTCGGTCTTTTCAAACGATGTCGTAATAGTAGTAGTAGTACTAAATTCTCTCAGAATTTTGTAACCAATGAAACTGAAATTTTGCCAAATTCAACCCAAATCCATGCCCAATAAATTGTTCACTACTTTCTCCGTTTTATTACCACAAACGCTAACCTCTATTGTTCTTGAAGGAAAGCCAATTACTTCGTTCCCGAAATGGAGAAAAAAGAAAATACATTAATATTCAACTGAAATAATTCAATGAAAATTATGAACTCTTGTGTGTGAGAGCCAGTGATCAATAACACTTCGCCTCAAATTTCTTTCTACGACTTCTTGACAAAGACTTGTACTAGGATGCTTCTCAACTAAACTCTTTCTAACCCTTTATTTTTGCTCCTTCAATAATTGATGAAATTTAATCCACCCAAATTAGGTGAGAAATACAACATTCCCCGATGCACGGTTATAAGGATCGTTTGATAAACTTAGCATTGTACTCCCTCCGTTCCATAATTATTATCCAGTTTGAGTTTTCATTTCTAGTTCAAATTGTGTTAAAAGTGAAATCTCAAACTAGACAATAACTTTGTGACGGAGGGAGTATTTTTTTTTTTTATCGGTTATTACAAAGAAATGTTGGTATTACTTAGATAGAACTATTTACTAATGCAAGGAACACCATACCACCACTAGCTATAATAAAATTTATTTATGGTATATAATTTTTTATACTCGTTCACATAAAGATCTTGATTATGAATTCAACTATACATTATTACTCACGTTAGACTAAACATGAAAATTGTTAAAGGCCATATGAGTTTTCGAAGCCATTTTTTTCTTTTTTTTTTATAAAAAAAATATAGCTCAAAGTGGATTAGAATATCTCTTCCTTTTTTCATTATTATATTAAGGAGAACGAAGTTGCTAATTCTTCACGGTTTTACTACACGCATGGGAGTTAACCAATAAGCTTACCTATTTACTTAATTTAACTAGTAAACAACATTTATAAATGCAAACTCCATTTCTTAATTTCTTCTTAAAACAAACGTTATCAATCAGTGTCTTGACCGAGGTTGAATTAATCTGGAGTTGTCTAGAACCAATGTAAGTAACGAAATGCAACCATCAATAGACATTGCTTATAACTCATTTCAAAAGCAATCAATGAAATTTGAACACTTCCATAATATTCCATTCCACTAATAAATCTCTTTATAATTTTATTTTTTTGGCCTTTTCTTAACCCAAAAAAAAAAAAGATAAAAGAACCAGCTTAAAATCATATGATGATTTTAATACATTACAGAAAGCGTGTAATCTCAAGTCTCAACCAATACATGATAGTACATATATTGACTAAGGAAAAAGTGTGTAAAATGAGAGTGTAGTGGAATGCTGACGTGGCAATGTAATGTTGTGTTGAATTACATGTATTATTGTTGATGCTCTAAAGCATAAATATTCGGATAAACTTTTTCTGGGACCCATCCAAAAATTATTGGGGTAAAGGATCCTTCTACACCTTTAGCCAATACATCATAAAAAATAACTCTTATCCGTTCTAAAATAAAAGTCGTGTTTTTTAAGATTGTATGACGAAATAAACTTGGTAGTATTTAATATAAGGTTACATACAACCGCAATATTTGCATGGCTGTTGATTTCCGTTAAAAGAAAAAAAAAAAAAAGCGGTTTGACATAGAAATGTAGGAGGAGAGAAAATAATGAATTTGATGATGATGAAGAAGATGAAAGCAAAACTGTGGTTGGATCAGAAAGCGGAGAGAAATACTACAGATTACTGCAATCCTTACTTGGTCTCCCCCTCATTAACTAATACTGTTCGTAGGTTACTGATGAGAGAAAAATCACACACATGTGGACTTCAACCAAAAAGTCTTCCCTTCTCTTTTTCTTTCTTTGCTGTAACTAATTGTTATTATGGTCCGTCGACTTTCATTTCATCATCATTATAGCTTCAACCTCTTCTAACATATTATACTACTATATATTTTAAAGGCTTTCCTTCCCTCCCTCCTTCCCAACGACCTCTGTTGGCATTTAATGTCTGAACTTTAAAGCTGGTTTTTAGTTTAGGCAATGAGATACAGATAGATAGGGAAATTTCACAGTGCAAAAAAATGATCTAAAGATGAGATCATTGTTTGAAGAGATAGAGATGCAATTTGCATATTCTTCCATCTTTATATACACTTGTAAATTTTTGTTGGGTCTCTGTTTTTTTTTTTTTTCTCTTTTTTCCTCTCTTATGTTCTGGCTAATAAATTTGGATGTTAATGATCAAAGTTTCAACAACAATAGTCTGGTCCCTTCATTTATTGCTCTTCTCCCTTTGCCTATTCTAACTCTATAAATCCTTTTTTATTTCTTTCCTTTCTCTCCCTGCCATTGACACAGAGTAGTAGTAGTCCTTCCCCTGTTTCTGAAACTACTACTTCCCCCCCTTCTATTTCCCAATTCCTTTCTTACTAGTTTCTTCCCTTTTTTTTTCTCTTTTTTATCCATCTCTCTCCAGTCAGTCTCTAATTTCGAGAAAGTTTCTAAATTTGATTTAGCCTACATTCCTTTCCCATCAAATTCAGCACCATTTCTGATCAGTGGTCTGTTTTTCAGTCCCTGTTCTGGTAAGTTTTTATTCCATTCAGTTTTTTTTGCTAGTTTTGTTTTTGCAGTACAGTACTAATTCCAATCTGATTTTATTATTGGAATTTTTGATCAGGTGGGGTCATTTTTTTTTTTTTTTGGAGTTGCTGAGATGGACGCAGGGACGGTGTGGATGGTTCTGTCATTTGTGGCTGCTTATTTACTATGGTTCAGATTCATGTCCAAGTCTTTGAATGGCGGCCCGAGGTTGTGGCCCGTTTTGGGCAGCTTGCCGGGTTTGATCCACAATGCTAACCGCATGCACGACTGGATCGCCGACAACCTTCGGGCCTGCGGCGGGACGTACCAGACTTGTATCTTCGCGATCCCTCCGCTGGCCCGGAAACAGGGCCTCGTGACCGTCACGTGCGACCCGAAGAACTTGGAGCACATACTCAAGGTCCGGTTCGATAATTACCCGAAAGGTCCGACTTGGCAAGCCGTGTTTCATGATCTGCTTGGGGAAGGGATTTTTAATTCCGACGGTGACACGTGGCTCTTCCAGCGTAAGACCGCCGCGCTGGAGTTCACCACCCGGACTCTCCGGCAAGCCATGGCTCGGTGGGTCAGCCGAGCCATCAAGCTGAGGTTTTGCCCCATTCTTGAAACGGCCCAGGTGGAGGGCAAGCCGGTTGATCTTCAGGACCTCCTGTTGCGGCTCACCTTCGATAATATCTGCGGCTTGGCTTTCGGAAAGGACCCGCAGACGCTCTCGCCGGGGCTACCGGAGAACGGGTTCGCCACCGCTTTCGACCGGGCCACGGAGGCGTCTTTGCAGAGGTTTATCCTACCGGAATTCATGTGGAGGGTGAAGAAATGGCTGGGGCTTGGGATGGAAGTCAGCTTAACTCACAGCTTGAAACACGTGGACGATTACATGACCAACGTGATCAACACGCGCAAGCTGGAGCTGCTGAATCAGCAGCACGGCGGGCCCATCCACGACGACCTGCTCTCCAGGTTCATGAAGAAAAAGGACTCCTACTCGGACAAATTCCTCCAGCACGTGGCCCTCAACTTCATCCTAGCTGGACGTGACACGTCATCCGTCGCTCTGAGCTGGTTCTTCTGGCTGGTAAGCCACCACCCGAGAGTGGAGGAGAAAATATTGATCGAGTTATGCACGGTCTTGATGGAGACACGTGGCGATGACGTGTCAAAGTGGCTCGACGAACCTCTAGTTTTTGAAGAAGTCGATCGTTTGATGTACCTCAAGGGCGCATTGTCCGAAACACTTAGGTTGTACCCCTCGGTGCCGGAAGATTCCAAGCATGTGATCGCCGACGATACATTGCCGGACGGGACGTTTGTTCCGGCGGGATCCAATATCACATACTCAATTTACTCGGCTGGACGTATGAAGTATATTTGGGGGGAAGATAGCTTAGAGTTTAGGCCCGAGAGGTGGATGTCACAAGATGGTACAAAATTCGAGCCTCACGACCAATTCAAATTCGTGGCATTCAATGCAGGCCCCAGGATCTGCTTGGGTAAAGATTTGGCGTTCTTACAGATGAAGTCCATCGCCGGGGCGGTGTTGCTCCGCCACCGGCTCACGGTGGCACCGGGGCACAAGGTGGAGCAGAAGATGTCATTGACATTGTTCATGAAGAATGGTCTCAAAGTGAACGTGCATAAGAGAGATTTGGGTCCCATATTGGCTAAAATTGGGAAAAATGATCAGAGTGGACAGCATTTCATCACTAATGGAATTGGCCATGCAGAAGTTGCCAAGATCAATGGTTTTCATTAAAGTTATTCTGATGATTTGTGAATAATATATTGATGCGACCATATTAGAACTTATTATACAAAAAGCCATGGATGGATGAAAAAAAAATTATTGTTATTTGCCCTCCAACCAAAAAAAAAAAAAATTAAATGGCAAATTGGAGTTATTGATTTGAAGTAGTAGGAGCCTGCATTTTCCAGAGGATCACATGATAACCAAGAAAGTCAAGAACCATAAAATTTAGGGTGTGCTTCTCACCTTGGATTGTTTTAGAAGCTCCCTTAATTTGTTACCCTTTTCTTTTTTTTTTTTTGATTCAGAAACTTTATAATGTTTATCTTTCCCAATTTTCGGCTTTTACTTTGGTTCATAATAATATATCAGTTTTGCAATGTACTATATATATATAGGACTTATTTTGTCACTCTAAATTGTACAATTTGATCAGCGAATGTATCTTGATTTAATATTTTCTTAAACTTTGTTAAGACGTCATTTGATCTTTAATTTTATGTCCGCACATTCTCCTAATTAAATATTTTGGGTTTACTCTTCATTTAAAAGATCAATAATCAAAGGCTCACTTCAGACTCCAACCTATAATCCATTAGTCGAAAAAAGAACCAGATTCCATCACTAGGCCGTATCCCCATTGTTTTAATCATACTAAATCATTGTCTTAACCAAATTGTGCTCAAATTCTGTGATGGTGCAAATTAGGAGTTGGAAAACAAATGTAACATAAATCCAGGGAGACATAGCAGTATAGCAATTCCCATTGTTCAGATGTGGTGTTCTTCTGATTTTGTTTCTTCACCAAATTATGCTTGCCTGTCATTTCGTCATTTACTGGTTTGGTCATAATCAATTAAATTTGATGTGAATTGAATTAATGAGAACTGAACGTCATTTCTCGTTGAACTCTGACCTGCTTCTTCGGTTATTAATTGCCGTGGAAATAAAACTTCATATTTTAATTTCATTTTTTAGTTTATTAATTAATTTTCTATACTTATTACCTTCATAATAAAATCTATATTGAAAAAGTAGACTAGTGTATTTCACCTTTTTTTCCTTGAAAATAAAATAAATAGCTACTGTGAATTTATTATGTCCACCAATAAAACGCACTTGATCTGGATGACTTCAGGTCAACATCGTTGTGGAAAAGGAGAAAAATAACACAAATTGCCGTACCGCATTTATGTGATTTTATTTAATGATGAAACCATATAACTGCTACGGGCATTTGTTCGGAAGGCAGACTTTATTAATTATTTGACTGCTTCACAAAATAAAGCCAAAAAAAAATTATAGACGAAAATTTTGCGCAAGTTTAACAGTTTCAATGCTGTCAGGATTTTAGTACACTTTTTTTTTTAAAATACTTTCTAAATAAATTCTAGAGAACTCAATGCATATATAACAGTAATTGGAAAGAGATGTTCACCTTTTATGCTTTCATTTCGTGCAAGAAATTGTATACATTGCTTTTTCTTTTTTCAATAACCCGTGGCGATCGCTTCAGATAACTCTATCTTTCTTAAAATACTATTTTTTTTTGTTTCAATTTTTTATTGTCTTCTGGTATCAAATTAGTGCAACGACAATTATTTTGTGATAAAGAAAGTAATGATATATTTGTCATTTAAAAGCATAAAAGGAAAAAGAATTTTCCAATAAGACTTAAAATGTTGTGGGGGAAAGTAAATATAATAAGGCCAGTTTCTATAATATGGTGGCAATCAGCAGCTTTTGTAATTTCCTACACAAGTGAGCCTTTGAGGATATGATCATTCCTCATATTGGTTTTCCATGTTTTTCCCCCTCTACATCGATGCCCAAGATGTCTATATAATTGACTGAGACAATTACGCAAATGAAATCACAAAGTTTTCCTTGACAAATTAATGTATATTTACACTATGATATTAGTTGGTCATCCAAATGTTAGTATTCTTTTTATCTTGAATAATTGTTTAATTTGGATCTTCACTTTTAATACACAAGATACAATCATTTACTTGACATTTTATAAGAAAATAAATGTTAAATTTTTTAATAGACGACGCCGAATTTTACACAAAAGAAAATGATAAACGTAACGAAAAAAATGGAAAACCAAAATGACTGTACCAAAAGATAATGTCGTCATTCTTATGTGAGAAACAGAAGGAAATTCAGTGAACATAAGATGACTGTTGAAGAAAGGATGCATAATCTGAAAATGGAGGTAACTTGGAAAACACAGATTTTGTAGGCGAGGTAGTAATGACGACATTAGATACCTAAATAGCATTGGTATAAAGCTGAGAAAATTTCATGTAATTGGCAAAAGATAGGGATATACAGTTGATACAAAGTTTATAATACAGATTTGCTTTTGAACCAAAATATATATATATATATATATATATATATATATATATATATTAAAACAATACAATCCTCTATTGTTGATTAGTATGTCGGCGTTAATTAGAAAAGTGATTTATCGATTTGGTTTCATAAATATACTAATCACTTATGACCTATGAATACTATCTCATTTTATTATTATTACGTATGTATTTTTGCTCCAACACCAAAGTGGTGATAAAATATCCGAACCGTATTTCTTTGTTAATAATTTGTTAGACCGAAAGAAGGGGATCATTTTCTGCCTGCCAATTTAGGTAAAGCCACTTTGGTTGGTGGAGGTTGAAATTTCATGAGACGTTTGTGGAGATCAATTGATTGAACTTTGGAGGAGTGAGGACAAAATTCATGGTATGTATTCAATTTTGGGTTTAGAACTCATGAATACGATAAAAGATGTAAAGATATAATGACTTGTTTTTTAAAAAAAAAATTAAAAAGCAATGATATTCATCAACTCACATTATTTTGATACAGTATTTTGATAGGGTTTACTGGCGTATAGTTTTGAACAAGGAAGGAATGATATATATATATATATATATATATATATATAAATTTTTGCCTTATAATATTAAAACTGGATGGAGTATTTCCGAAATAAAATATTTTTTTCAAATAAAAGAAATGTGTTCAAAGTTGTAACAAAAAAAAAATACTGCGTCACAGCAAATTGCCAATAACTTGCATGTAGATAATGTTAAAAGGTCTCCAATTGCTTCATCACTCCCGCGCCCATATCCTCGATTTCATACCTAGTCTGTTCCGGTGACATCTAGTAGTAAGAATATCGTTGACAATTGTAACGACCATGTAAGTAGCTATATGAAGATAGTATGAAAATAAAATGTTAAAAAGAAAGAGCTAGATTTATAAAGAAATTCAAAAACTCATTTTCAAGAGTTAGAATTTTTTATTTATTTATACTATTATTCTTTTTTTTTTTTTACCTTTTTTTAAAAAAATGCAATCTCCTTTCAAAATTTTTAGTAGACCTTAAAAAAGTGACGCGACTGGTTAAGAAACCATGGAGCATGTAGTTAGATCTTTGAGTGCTTTTATCTGATGTATCATGCAGTAACTACGATCTGGAACCATAAAAAAATGATGTACTTGAAGTAGTCAATTTTTTTTATTATTTTTTTTTTTTGTATTGGTATTGAAAAGGTCTCATATAAAGAGTATCAGGGATTTCATTTCCTAGGTGTTTGAGATGAAATTAGTGTCATTTAAGGAGCATCAAGTGGTATTGGAATTGAGACAGCTAGGGTGCTTGCATTACGCGGTGTTCGTGTGATCATGGCTGTCCGGCATACAGATACTGGTAAGTCTATCAAAGATGAAATTACCAAAGAAATCTGTGATGCTAAAATTGAAGTCATGGCTTTAGACCTTAGCTCAATGGCTTCAGTAAGGAAATTCGCAGCAGAATATAAGGCCACTGGACAGCCCCTTAACATTCTTATGTGAGATCCATTTTTCTTCAAGTTCTGTACAGAAGTTTTAACAACACCAAAGAGGCAAAGATTCAAATTTGTTTTGCGTATTTGATAGAAACAATGCTGGAGTCTGGTCTTCCAAATTTACGCTTTCAAAGGATGGCATTGAACTTGATTTCGCCGGCAATCATTTAGGTATGCTTGTCTGTTTAACAGGTGTCCGCTTTATCCCTTATTGCCACTGAATGAATATTGATTTTTACAGGACATTTTCTTTTGACAAATCTACTGCCTGATGTAATGAAAAGTCTACGAATTAAAGCCGCAGCTTCAACATTTGGAAATAGAAGATCAAATCAGTGAAGAAGGCTTGGTTCAAGACGTTGACATGGATAAAGTATTGCAGCTGACCTGATCATTTGTGTAAATTTGTGAATATTACTGTCTGTAAACACAGCACATTAATAGCTGTAAATACACTGTATATTGGTAAAGTAAGTTAGCTGTAAATACGATTAGTTTAGTCAGTTAGCTAGAGTTATAAATAGCTAATGATAGTTTGACTTGTAGCTTAATCATTATTACAGAATTAATCAATTTTACCAAAATCAAGAAAGATCTTTCTCTCTCCTTCTGTCGAGTTCTATTTCCGCCATAGCAAAACCCTGGGACGCTTTTCAAAAAGAACAGCTACAGAAAGCAATATAGAAGGAAGGATTGTAATTGTTTCATCAATGGGTCACAGATTTGTGACTCGCTGAAGGCATTCAGTTTGATAAGATCAATGAAGATGCAGGGTAATTAAATCAAGGGGTTTAAATTTTTCCATCAGCTAATAGTATGTGACAAGGAACACATACATATGATGATTGTATTTATTAGGTACAAATATGGACAATCAAAGCTTGCTAACATTCTGCATGCTAATGAGCTTTCGAGGCGTTTGAAGCTAATAATATATCAAGGTTCTTGAATTCTGTCTATCTTTAGAGTCTACCAGCATTGGCGATTCACTGCTGTGTTTCTTTTCCAATTTCATCAGGAGGAAAGAGTGCCAATTACCGTTAACTCGCTTCATCCAGGAAACATTGCTACAAACCTAATGCGCGAAAATCGCTTGCTCATGGGTAAATCCAACTTCATCAATGAAAGAGATCAGATGAAATCATATATCTTCACGACATACAATAAACATAATTTTGCAGTCGCCGTTCTAGCTGTATATATTGCTGCATTTTTCTAGCTTTGTCCACATTATAATCATTCCTTTTATGTTGTTGAAACAACATCAAAATATTTTGAAGCAAGTAAATCAATTGCATTTTAGAGATGCAGGCATAGGTAAACTGTTTCTTGGACTGTTCTTGAAGAGTATTCAACAGGTTTGTTTCCTGTTCAGAGATCAAACTGTAATTGTTGGTAATCCATCTAATTTTTGGTGTTCAAATTCTCTAATCTGATCTTCAGTTTACTTTTTTTACTTCTTTTTTCAGGGGGCCACAACTACGTGCTATGTGGCATTGCATCCACAAGTGAAGGGAATAAGCGGAGAGTACTTTGCAGATTGCAACTTATCCATAGCAAGTGATCTAGCACTAAACATAGAATTGGCCCAAGAAGTTGTGGAATTTCAGCCTCAACTTGACTACTCCCAAATTCTAGAATGGCGAGAATCTTGTGCTTCGGTGAACTGTTTCGGTAATTATGTTCTAGTATTGCTGAACATTATCCATGTCAAATTAGCTAAAAAAATCATAAGATACAGCTTTGTTCATTGTCTAATCTGTCCAAAGTTAATGTAACTCAGATTACACTTTTGGGAATAATGAATCGTCTTCATGTTAGAAAAAAAGAGTGAATGGCACCCACAAGCAAGTGAACAAACCAAGAAAGCCCTTTAAGATCGCAAAAGGCTGACCCAACATTTGGACGATCAGTCATGCTGGACACCCCGTAGACAATCTATTTCCTAGGATCCAGATTCCAAATGTTTCGAAGCATTCCGAGATAAGTAGCTACATTTAAGCTTTCATATTTCACCGCTAGAATAAGCAAGGGGGCATTCCAAGCAATATACAAAAGGCTTGAAGATCCTTAAACTCCAGGAGCTTTTGTTCTTTCATGTTTTAGGCTTCAATGGAATCCCAAGAATGGAATAAAGAAGAAAAAAAAAAAAATCAGTTCCAAGTGTGACAAGTCCAAATTGATACGGCCCGCGTCTAGGCCGGCCCAAGTTCGGCAAGCGGTTCAACCGGCTCCTGAAAGATTCTAGGGTAATTACTAATTACTTTCTTATCAAGAAAAGGGTGACGCAAACAAGTAACCCTAACTCTATAAATAGGGATCAACACCTCACATCAAAGGTACGCTCCACGTACTACAATTCATACCCCTATTACAATTGCTATTACTGACTTAAGTATCGGAATATCTACCCTTGGGAGATCCTGAGGCTCTTTTGCAGGTTTTAGGATTTTGATACCGCTATGGTTGCCGGTTCAATCAACTGGAGATGCCGGTGCAGAATCTATGCTTCGTCAAGTGGCACGCCCAGTGGGACATGACAAGGGTTCTCCTTCACCACATTTTCTTGTGAAGGAGATGGAAATTGAGAAAAACATCTCCTTCCAATTGCAGACGATAGAGGGCGGAAAACGTCCTCCCGATATCCTGATATGGCCGAATCGTGCTCATGTTTTATTTACAATTTACATCAAATTCGGCTTACAACAGCTGCATGCTCAAGGTCTATATATTTAAGATCTCTTTCTAAAAAGCATGCTCTTTGTTCGTTTCAGTGGGGTAAAGTATCAATGATAAACTATTCATTATATTTACAAGTAAAAGGGTGACTATCAATAAGCTTCATTGATCATGCTTTAATAACCCTTATTTAATTAATCATGGTATTGTTGAGACCTGTAGGTGTACATGAGATTTTCTGAAACATTATTATTTTATCATTTTATCGATTTTTTTCACTTTTTGTATTGGTCCCAAGTTGGTACCAAAGAAAATTATTAATTGTTAGAAGTTATTAATTGATAGATTATTAATTTACTGACGTTCTATTATATAGTGAAATTAAAAATAGTGACTGATGTAGAGTAATTATGGCCCCTATTTTTTTTGCTACTTTTCTGTTGAAATTTTATCTTTCTCATTAGATTACTTTTTTACCCTTTATTAATAAATACTCATGTATAGTGAATGTGGTGTAAATATATTTGCATTAGTCAATATCTAAATTCACCAATGGCTATGATTGCTCTTGTCTCTCCGTGAAGATATGGTCGTATTTTTGGAACATTTCTTTGGCAATATTTGGAACATGGTCTTGCTCAATATCTTGATGGTAATCAGCGACCCATATGTTTGGGCCAGTTTTGACACAGTTCGGCGGAAAACCCCTCCCATCTGAAACATGTTTCCCACAAACGGCAGCCGGGGAGGTCCCGGCCGGATGTTTCTCCGTCCGCGGCGGCGGCATCCGCGAGTGTAAATCCAAAAAGAGATGACAAAAAGAATAAGGCAGGGTATCACATCAACCAGAATAGATGTAGTTTGGTACGTTCCCTCTGTCTTCGGTTAGTTTGTCCTCCTTTTTGTAATTTCTCGTAGTTGGTCTGATTTGAAATCGTATTAAAAATGAAAATTTAAACCGAATAGCGATGGTAGGATGGAAAAATACTAAATCTGTGACATTTCTGTCCTTCCTCAATCTCAGGAAACCTTCAAACAATCCGGTAAGCACACCTAAACGTGTACTAGGTTGTAAGTTGTAACCAATATCCGGCGAGTGCTGACGTGATGTTGTGCCCGTTTATGAACCACTAATATTTTATTTAATGGAGTAAGCTAGCACGCCAGATTGAGAGAACTAGCTCAGATCCAGGCTTTTGAAAAATGGCAGTTGGGGAGAGCACAATTTTTTTAAAAAAATAAAATTATAATTAAAAAATAGAGAAAGAAAATGTCAGAGCATCACATTTGCGAAACAAAAGGATTCAAGCTTGTTGCGCGAACTAATAAACACTACTCCTTCCATTTTATAAATGTAGTCATCATTGTAAATTGTAAAATTTTGCAATTTCTCGCACAATTTACAACTAATTTAAATTGTTTTTGTGAGACAGAATAAAAAATGAAAATTATTTTGGTACTTTTCCATTATCATCTGTGTCTAGCACTGGGAAGATATATTTCGATTTTTTTCTTTATTATTATTATTTTTTATTTTTTAATTTCTTTTGCAATGTGATGAACCCTGATATTTCTTTACTCAAAAAAAAAAAATTCCTGATATTTCTCTTCTGATAAGCTTATTTATATGAGGGACAATTCTTAAACTTTATTTTCATATGGAAAATGGAAGTATCAAGTATGTGCTTCCATATCTTCCCTAGTTTCTCTATTTCGATCTTATCAAATGCGTTATGCTCTCACTTTGCTAGCAAGAAAGCATGTGTACGCACTATGCAGTTCGTATGAACTGTGATGTGAAACATCAACGTTAATATATTTTTTGGGCCCAATATTAGCACACCGAAATAGTAGAAATTAAATTTATAGGTGTAAATTAACTAAATGGGATCTTGATAGGAGATCTTCATATTTGGTGTAAATTTGCGCTTTTATTGACAATAGTAATTAATGATTCAATAAAATTGATTATGGAAAGAATCCTAATTTATAATACTCACCGTAAGTTTATCTAATAATAAGGAGTAATTCAAAATACGAATCACAAATAATCAATAAAAACAATTATCTAATAAAATTAATTAGGAAATGATCATGTAATTCCTTCTTGCAAGTTCAGTAATTTTTTTCTACTTCAATTTTGTGTTCATACATATATGATATATAATTCATAACAAAATAGAATTAATCGTGTTCATGCATTCATTAATTAAAATTCATAACAATTAGGATTAGTGTTCATCAAGATTTGTGTTTATACATGATAGAATTAACAATTGAAAAATGGTCATATGTATATTGCGAATAATTCAGGGCGCCCGAACTTTTTAGTCCCTAAAGTATTTTCCGGTTCAATTTTCGTCCCTAATGTTTTTTACGTGAGGAAATTAGTCCTGATAGTTTTTTTTTGTTCAAAATTGGTCCTATTGGCCGGATCCGGCCACTAGTCCGATCAAATAAGATTTCTATAATTACATATTTTCTCTAAACTTTCAAAGTTTATCAATTTTACCCCAATTTTTTTTAAAAAATTCAATGGAACCCAATTTTAACTTTAGCATATAACTTTTTCAATTTTACTCTATTCACTTTTATTTATCCAAATCAAATCTTTCTATCCAAAAATATAAAATGTCCGACACTGTTTACCTTATTCTTCTCATATTTACCATGAACAAACTAATCTTAAATATATATTAATTTATTATTTTCTTCAAATTTATTTTTTTGACTTTGCTGCCCCTATGCTAAACCAAAACTAACACTTCACCATTTCCTCCGTTGGCCCATACAAAATTATAAAAATATAATTGGAAGAAAATAGATAAGTAAACATTTTAAGATACTTTTTATTTTGTTTGTGATAAAAATGAGATAGAATCTGGTATATAATGTAATAATTTTATATTTTTGGAAGTAATATTTGATTAGATTCCATATTTTATATTTTTATACTATTTTTTATTTCCCTGGCCTAATACTAAACCAAATTTCATATCTTTCGCCATTTTACTCATAAAGATAAAAAAAAATTAATAAAATAATAATGTAACTAAAAAAATAAGTATAGAATAATAGAAGAAATTTAATAAATAATATTAAGTTAAATAAAATTTTTAAGTAAAATTTACATTCACAAAAATTTGTTCAAATTTCTTTTATGTTTTTCACTCTAATGATTTATTTACCCAACTAACCACCTTTTCATTTTATAAAAATTTGTATTTCTGAATATTCATCTTTTTAATTTTTTAATTGACCTTTTTACCTGAATTTTTTTTTCAAACCTTATTTTAGTTTATCTTATCCATATTTATTATGTCAGACAAATCTAAAGCAGTGAGGATATTCAAAAAAAAAATTCCTTTGTTGTTTGATTTTTTATTGACGTAAAAAAACACATAAAGTAAATCAAAATAGGGTTCTAATTTTTATAAGGTGAATATATAAAATAACTAGTCAAAAAATATGACAACAAATACGTTAGAGTTTGAGAAAATGGTTCTTGGGAAGAAAGAATTAGAGAGAAAAAAGGGAAAAATATAAATTTGCATGTTTTTTTAAACTTTGAACAATAATTTATCAGAGAATATTTTATTAATTTAATATTATTTATTAAATTTATTTTATTATTTAAGAGATATTTTATTTTATATTATTATTTCATTAATTTTCAAATTTTTTGGAGATAATATAATGAAAATTGATAGTTGATTTAGTAATAGTGGCCGGATAAATAAATATTTTAGAATATTTTTTTTAGTTTGTTCATGGTAAATGTGATAGAGAATATGGTAAACAATATGATAAATTTAAAATTTTACTACAATAAGATTGGTTGGGATAAATAAAAGTGAATAGAATACAATTGGGTTGTTTTTAATTTGATCCATTTAAGAAAAATTTTGAATTTTTATTTTTTACACGCATGGATCATCATGTACTGACTTGTGAGCTTCAACTGGCATCTATTGAGGAAGATCAAACATCACCTGGTAACAAATTGTTTTTGTTAATTTTATTGCAATATGATAGATGAACAAGCTTTATAGTGTTTATGAATTTTTCATCTTTACTACATGAATACAAATATTAGTGTGTAATGGACAGTTTGAATTTTGAAAGAACCAAATTATTATGAACTTCAATTAAGAAATGCATAAACACCGAGTAATTCTAACTTTGTTATGAATTATTCACAATACACATATGAGCATTTTTCAATTGGTGATTGTATGAATATAAATTTTGATGAACTACCCCAATTGTTATGAATTTTAATTAATGAATGCATAAACATGATTAATTCTATCTTGTCATGAATTATATGTCATATATTTAAGAACACAAAATTGAAGTAGGAAAAAAAAACCACAGAACTTGCAAAAAAAAAAAAAATTACAGGATCATATCCCTAATTAATTTTATTAGATAACTGTTTTTATTGAATATTTGTGATTCGTATTTGAATTACTCCCTATTAGTAGATAAAATTACGGTAAGTATTATAAGTTAGGATTTTTTCCATAATGAATTTTTATTGAACATACTTTATTGTGTTTATGAATTTTTCACCATCACTATATAAATACATATATTAGTGTGTAACAGTTCGACTTTTGAACACATGGAAAAAAAAGGTTAATGAGGGTATACATCTCAATATTTATACTCAGCCTGAAATTCATTCCAACGTTTTAAAATTGATCAATAATGTCCCAAAGTTATCAAAATAGGACAAATTCATCCCATGACCTGCAAAACGATAAAAGTGACCAGAGATAACAGGTAAAAATCTATTGGGCCCCTTAATTTATTCTTTTTTTCCCTTAATTCATTACTTTTTGTCATTTTTTTAGTTCATTAAAAAATAAACAAAAATACTAAATGAAAAAAAAAACTCATAAAAACTTAATTAATAATTACTAAAAAAGAATTAATTCCTCACAAACTTAAACTTACAAAGTTAGAATGAACTTAAAATTTATTATTTAATGAATACAAAGATACATATGTGAAATTTTAATCATTCTTTTTTTTACTCAAAATAAAATTAAAAAAATTGGGATGTAGATTTTATCAACAAATTAAGATAAATTAAACTAAGAAAAATATTAAATTTATTAAAAATTAATTTAACAATTTAAATTTCTTTGTTTTGCTAATGTTGTTTCTCTTTCAATGAATCAAAGTTTTAAAAAATTAAAAAAATAAAAAATAATATTGTTAAGTATTGGATCCAAATTATTTTTACTTGTTATAGCAGGTCAATTTTATTGGTTTGAAGGTTATGGGATGGATCTACTAAATTTGAAAATCTTGAGACATAATTAACTAATTTTAAAACTTTGGGATTAATTGACTAGCTGGATATAAACGTTGGGATGTATACACTAATATTCCCTGGGAAAAAAATATGTTACCCACTTGCGCATGGATTTTTATTTCGAAAAAAAAACAAATTTATTCTCTTTAAACTTGCGTGTAACACAAACTCTAAAACAAGTATACCATATATGGTGAACATCACCATATAAATTGCCTAATATTAATTATTTTCAAACATTAGTGATTTATTAATGAATTATTATCCATATTAAAAACATAATTGACACACCCGTCGAAACAAAGTTTAGTCAACTTAAAAAGAATGGAGCTGAAATTTATAAAATCTTAAAGATATCAAATGCCTTGTAAATAGGACAAAAGAAGTCTCAAAAATAACTTATAATAAAGAAAAAACGAGCAAAGAACACTCACCAGTTCTCTGATAAGACTCCTTCATCAAGCATTTTAAGGGTTTCTCTCCATCGCATATGTTGCTTGAACAGTTGCACAAAGACAGTAAAGAAGGAAATCCGTATAAAACTATAAATGTTTCCAAAGAAATACAACCCACATTCACACTCCCTTGATGAGTTGAGAAAGAGTGTGTTCTGCAAACTACTTGGGATCCGTCAAGTTCAAGCTAAATTCCCATAGCTTCTTTGCCAGTTCTGAATCCTTAGCCAAAGAACTCGGATTAGCTATATCACAGTCCGAAAAATACTGGCCGCTTACTCCTTGGAGCTGTGGATGTAAGGCTAAATAGGTAGGAGGGGCTGCACCCTGTTAAAAGAAATCCGATATCATATGAACAATAGAGCAGCTTACAATATAGGAGCCAGAAAAGCTTTCTTTAGTAGCTCAGTATAATTAAGAGAACAGGTGACACTAACCTGTTCAACGTTCTTAATGAAAGGTAGTCTGGAAATCAAAGTTGCACCAACTGCAATGATACAAACCCAAATTGCACTTAAATAGATGAATGCATAAATAAAATAAGTGAAAAAAAGATTTAAATGGAAATTCATCACTCAATTTTAGCACGCAAAATGGACAATGGCACAGGATATGAATTTTTATGATGAATCTACTTCATAACTATACCAATTTGACAAAAAAGTTTCCACTGAATGGTGAATCTACTTCATAACTAGGCTCGCCATTACTTTTACTATCAGCATATTGATGAATTCTGTATTTGGGAACACAATTCAATCCAACAGATTGTTCAAAGTTCATAATCAATATCAACTCTCTCTTATGTCTCAATAATCTGACAGAAATTATTTTCTTGGGAGATTTGGAGAAATGCATTCAAATATAATACTAAAATAAGTTGTTATAGTAGAGGAGGATATAAAATCAAAACCCACCATAGTCCCAAGAATGAACAGTCTTGGCAATTAAAGAACAATTATGATATGCAGAAACATGTAAATAAAATCAGAGAGGTTAAAGAGGTTTACACTCTATTAACTTCTGGTGGCGCATAAGGTTGGTCATAATAGCTCCAGGATGTACTGAATTAGCTGTTATATTTACCCCTTCTTCCTGTGGAGTGCAGAGACTGTTAATCACATTCAACAGACCATGCCAAGAAGAAAATGTCGAGAGCAAGGTGGTCTCAGCACATTAACAATATCAGCAAACAAGCTATTATTTGTCCATGTAGCCATTTAGGCACTTTTAGATTATATGTTATAGATCTATATCAATAAATGTGCATAGTCTACAAAGATGAACCCAAATGCATACTGACGTCATTTGCTCACACGATGCGAAAGCACTCTATGAACCCCAGGATTTCCAATTTATAAACTTGGGCCATAAAATCATGTCGTAATTTAAGAGTTGAGAAGCAGAAGTTTATTAAGCATCCGAAATTTGAAATTGTCAAAATTTTAGTAACTCGAGTCCTATTTCAGAATTTATTTTCTTTTTAAACTCAACTGTAAACGTAAAACATAAACTTGTAGAAAACTTGAAAATCACAGTTGTCTGAAAAAACTTCACTACTTTGTATAAATAAGTAAAATAAGAAAAGGCCACCTCAGTCCGTGTGCTATTGCACAATATCTAAAGTAACATCAACAAAACCTAAAAACATCTTGCGAAAATATTTATACTAAACCCCAAAACTTATAACTTTTCTTTCAGAATATTGCACAATGATCAAAGATTACCTTTAGACGTCTTGCGAGCTCATTAGCGTGCAATATGTTAGCAAGCTTTGATTGCCCATAGGCAAGGAAAGAATAGTAGCTGGAATGTAGGTATAGCATTTTCATTAGAATTCCAGGTGGAGTCAAAATCAGAAAACAATGAAATCATTCAAGTATAGATAAGTCTCAGAAAACAGATATCAAACAGCAGGTACACTGGATCAGAACACTCTTTCCAGATTTTTTCTGACAAGGATCTACACCAAGTTTCCAACCTAAAATCACCATACCATAAAAACCTTCAACGAATTAAGAATTTAATTTATCGCAGGTTTGCAAATATATGCTTTCTTCTTCAGTGATTTTTCATCCCCTCTAGTATGGCAACTGGAATAGATTAGGGATTGTAAATAATTCAAGTTTCTAAACTAATTTTCTCGTGTATGGCCTAGCTATATTCTTCCATCATTCGCATCTTCAAATGCAGTGGTTCCGTCTTTAATAGTTTTGGAGCAGAGGGCAAACTTGTTAATGTAACGGAGTCAAATTATACACACACAAAAAATAAATAAAAAATAAGAGTATATAAGAATTGTGACAAAAGAATCACCAAGATCACCTTGATTGATCATTTATTTTGTCAAAACGAATCCCTTCACGGTAAACAAGTTTATGACCAGCTGATGAAACATTAACTATTCTCCCTTCTCTCTGGCTGTTATGTGAAGTTCTTTTCATGTTCTCCAGCAGTAGATTTGTCAAAAGAAAGTGACCTGCACAAAAATGGAAAATCATCTTATGTTATTACTACCCTTTCGGCCTTTGCTTGTGTTTAATTCATGACATTAATACACATTTGGCATGACAAATAGAGAAATTTTTCCACTGTTCTGTAACATGAAACAAAGCAACATTTAGCTCCAAATTTGCAAAAATCAAGATACCAACAAAAAAAGAAAGAATAAATAGCCGGCACACCAGAAAATGAACTGAATATTAGAAAACATAAGAAATGTCTATTATCTAAATTCTCGTGCTCCACATTTGTCCACATTAGAGATGTGAAATATATAGGGTACACCTTTAATCACACACATCAACATCTGACTTTATACATCAGTAGCTTCGAATTTCTAAACATGCCGAATGTACTTTCAATTGTTTCAAGAGGAGAGAATGGAGATGAACTGTTAACCAATTTCAGTAACTTATAACCATCATGTTTTCTATTTTCCGACAGTTTTCAAATCATAACAATTATTTACTAAAATCTAGCGAAGGGAATGTTTACCTATATGATTAGTTGCAAATTGCAACTCTATCCCATCCTGTGAAAGTGCAAATGGTGACGCCATAATTCCAGCATTGTTCCTTCACATGGAAGGCCAAAAGTATGTCTCAATTTCCAAAAAAAAAAAAAAAAAATTGAATCCGAAAGGGTCAAAAGAAGCACACAACAAATAGCAATGTAGTATCATCGATAGTCTGCACTAGTTGACTATTAACTTACACTAGAACATTGAGAGGAAGACCCGAGGAATTGTATTCTGAAGCAAATCTCCTAACTGACGCCATGGAGCTGAGGTCTAACTCCATAACATCAATTTTAGCCTCAGGAATCTTTCTAATGATGTCTTCTTTAACTTTTTTGCCGCTCTCCACATTACGCACGGCCATAATTACATGAGCACCACGCAAAACTAAGACCCCAGTTATCTCTGATCCAATGCCACTTGATGCTCCTGTTATGGAAGAGAAATAGAAGCACCAAAAAATCAGCCAGCAAACCAGTGTGTACAAAATAAACTAAAAAATAAACACCAAGGACAAACTTGCATAACAATTTCAGTTCTTCCATCCGGTAAAAATAAAACACTCCACATCCTCTGTAAGACTGTAAAATTAAAAATCATAACAAAGGAACCAAGTCAGCCAGTGGGAGGGGAACTGAAGGATATCAAGTAAAATGAACAGAAACTTTATTAAGACAGTTACATATGATACATCAACATTCATCCTTAGAAACAAAGACCGACGAACCACAAGTCAAAAGTGGAAGTCTCACAAGTGACAACAGTCAACGATGGAAAACAAGTATTGAGGCTATATTAGAATATAACAAAATGAAAAACCCGGATCAGAAAAGGACCTGTAACTATGGCAGTGAGGCCAGAAGCATCAATCCCGCGAGCAACTTCCTCAGCTGTTGATTGAGAAGAGAACCCTGATGCCCCTTTCTTCCAAGGATGCCACATCTTCTTGCTGTCAAGATTTAATCTTTCTTCCTTAAAAAAACTGAAGCTCTTTGTACTATTTTCGCAATCGATTTCCACTATGTATACAAGCAAATTATTTTATCAGGGTTGACAGGATATTGTTTCCCCTTCCAGAAATTGAAATGTGGAAAGGAAGCCTGACTTGTTAGCTTCCTTCTATGAAAACAGAATCATAAATTTAACTTCTTCTGTCTTACATGTAATAGCCAAATTTTATATATTTCTCTTTGGCTTTACGTATTGGGATGATCTGAACTGATGGAAAAAACTGAAGACTGAAAAAATTGATGGCAAGAAAGAAATGTCGAAACTTGAGAGGTAAAAGTTTCAATTTCTAGTGGAAAACACAAAGTGGGAACAAAATGATGTCGAGGAGAGAAAGAGGTGTAGTCAATTTCTGCCTTAATACTTTGGGCTTGACCCAGCTTTTATTCTAGATTCCAGCCCAGTTTCTAGACCAATATAATCTGGTTTAATTTAGCCTAACCAAAAGGTCCAGCAAATATTAAGTCATTTCATTTAGTTTGGTTTGGGCTTATTTTCCTTACCACTACTCTTTTGGATATTTAAATCATTTCAATTCAATTAATTTTGACTTTTGTAAAACTAGACTATTTTTTTAGGACAAACTTTTTCATTAAACTGAACTATTTTTGTGGGACTGATGGAGTAATATGGATTCATTGTAGTATGTTTTTTGTTTAGGTATTTGGAGTCAAGAGTTTAAAAAAAAAGAGTAATATGCTCAAAAGATCATTTTTATTTGCCCAAAAACTTAATTTGGTCATTTACATTAAAAACTCACTCATTTAGTCCATTATATTTGTCTTTTTAACTAATTTGGTCCTTTTTATCTTTTTTAGCGCTTTACATTTGTGAGTTCTTGGGCTAACCAATTCTTTGTCAACTCAATAGGGACATTTTCGGTAACATATAAATATCAGATTTTTAAAATAGGTTAAAAAAACAAAAATGTATTAAAATAATATTAAATATATTATATTAATTTATAATTTATTATTAAAAATGAAAAAAATTTAAACATTCAAAATTCAAATATAATATTATTAAAAATTTTAAAAATTGAAAAAAAAAATCAAAATCTGGTTTTTTTAACCCGTGGGCCCCAATCAAAATTTTTTTTTACCCAATTTTTATCCATCACCACCGGACCACCTCCATCGCCGCCAGATCGCCCACAACTGCCACCGGCCGGTGACCTGCCAGCCAGATTCCGGCGAGTTGGCTCCAATCGAAAAAATTCAAATAAAAAATCACATTTTAAATTACATCTCAAACTCAAACAAAAAACTAAACCAAAAACTAAAATAAACTATTGTCCAAATAAACCCTCTGTTTTTATCATGTGGAGCCCACATCTAATTTTTTTCTTTACCCTTATTTAGTATTTTTTTTCGTTATACCAAAATAACTCACGAAAAAAAATAATAAATAATCGTAAAGAAAACAATTAGATGTTGGCCCCACATGATAAAAACAGAATAATTCAAGGGTAAAAAAATTTTGATTGGGACCTACGGGTAAAAAAAAAATCTGATTTCGGATTTTTTTTTTATTTGAATTTTGAATTTTTAAATTTTTTTCTTTTAATAATAAATTATTAATTAATATAATATGTTTAGTATTATTTTAATACATTTTTTAAGAAGACAAATGTAATGGACAAAAGAGTAAGTGTTTAATGTAAATGACCAAATTAAATTTTCGGGTAAATATAAAGCACCTTTTGAGCAGATTACTCTAAAAAAAATATACTAATAAATTCTGGTGGGTGCATATAACAGCTCGCTCAGATAACAAGGAGTGTAAATGATGCAGATAAACTGAGAACCAAGAGTGAAAATCCAAACAATGGGATACTGTGAATAATCGTAATAAACATAATAATATAGGGGAAAAAAATCAAAAGTTCTATTATGATTGAAATCGTATCTCATATCTAGACAATCAAAACTGAATACAATTGAAGTTCAACTAAGAAACAATTTCGCCAGAGGAAATGAAATAGTTAAGCGGAAGGATATTCTCCTCCAAATAAGAACAGTTACCGAATATTTCAATCGGACAAACACAGTCATACTCATCGAGCAATTCCTTGGATGCATTAACCTTAATCAGTTCTTGTTTCCTCCTGACTGGATCCAAGATGTAAAGATCAGCTGGGAAAGTTATCTTTTGATCATAAATTAGCATCTTTCCGTTGGGAAGTACACCCACCGCAGTTGGGATCTGCAATGTGTTCAGGGAACTTCCCGCTATATCCATTTGTCGGAGCTGAGTTAGAACATCAACCCAAGAACCTCCACTCTCAACACTACCATGCCCATCACAGTCGGGACGACAATACCGTAAAATCTCTCCAGAGTCTTCCTCAGCATCGATTTCTTTCGTCACAATGATACTAGAACCGAACTTCATTAGCCTCACATAGGGAATGTCCATACCCTCGTTGAAATAAAAATCAATTTCTGCAGGTTCTACTGGTGAAGGAATTGGAATAAACTTCTCTTCGGCAAGATGAAAGGCCACGAGTACAGGCTCGTATTTTTCAATCCAGCAAAGAACTCCACCAATACATGCACTTTGAGATGATATATCTACAGGCGGAAGGGAATATACCTTTCTCCAGTAGGAATCCACCCCTACTGTGAGAATCTCTATGGAACCTAGGGATGTCTTGAGTAATTTGTAATGTTTGTTGATAGGATCGAAACCAAAGTGGTACAAGAAATTATTCTCCTCAGAACTATCAGTCGAGCTAGGAAGTTGCATCATCTCACGGGTGGCAACATTACATAGCCAAGAGTGTTTGCCTTGGTAGAAACATAATAGACCATTCACGACGTCTGTATATAGTATCATCTGGTCCCTGTTTTCATGCTCCAAAATATAATAAGGAAGGATTTGATGAGTGGTTGCAGTGCCACCATCAAGGCCAATGTAGAATAAACACCTGTTATTACATGGCTGAAACCGGGCGGGCTGACCGGAGAGGAGACCTCGATAACCACCACAGTATGCCTTGGCGAATGATAGATCCTTGATAACTGATAGCCACGTTTTGGAGACACACTTGAATTGCATCAGGGACTTCACTGGAAGCCATCTGAGAACCTCCCAAATCAACTCATCAGGAATCAGCATGTCCGACAGATGCCTGACAAAACACCAAAAGATATGAGTAATATGATCGATATTTGGGGTTCAGATGTTGGATTCACATGTAAGAAGTGTTACGGGCTGCAGTAATAACGAATGCAGAAGATAACTACATACAAGTGATATACAACGGGAACACGCGAAACCTATTTCACTTAAGAATAGGATTAACCATAAATCTCTAGCAAACTCAATTAAAATCGAACAAGAATTTGTTTATTTGAAGTTACAGCAGAGAGCTGGATGAACTAACTAATGATATCTAACCAATAATACCAATAATCTAAGATTAAGATAGAGAGCCAAGCAACTATAAAAATTTAAATAAATAAAAAAAAATTAAAAGAAGTGCTTAACTTTCATAAATACTCACAAATACCTCTTTTGTATTGCAATGGAAAAAGTGTCTTAGCTGAGATCAATGAAGCAACAGTTACCCATCAAAATTTTGAACATCAAATTTTAATCGTTTAGCACTACCAACTCAAATTTGCCAACTCAAACGCTTCAGTAAATCATTACATAGCAAAAAAAAAAAAAAACTAAAGCTAAAGCGCAAAAACCTAAAACCTAAATCATTAAGAACTCATCAGAGAACACAATCTGCATTGCCAAAGCCTAATTGCAATTTCAAATAATACTTCTTCCGGCTAACAAGCAGGGATAAATCAAATCATTCAGGAAAAAAAAGAAAAGATAGTGCTTTTAATCAGCAAAACATACTCACATCAAATTCATAAAAAAAAAAACAGAAAAAACAGGAATAGAAACACTCACCAAGGAGGAAGGGGCTAAAATAAGGTTCCAAACAAATGGTCTTCCCGTTTTGAAGCGTCGAAAAAGAAAATTGCAGAGTCTCGGAGTCGCCGGTCGGATTCGGATTGATCGGTGAAAGGTTTTTTTCACCCCGGCGGTGAAATTCGGGAGCGGAATTATCGACAGGGGAAATTGGAGTTCCCTAATAAGGTAAAAAAAAATATCTCTGCGCTCTTAGTTCCCTTTCCGTCAAGGAAAACAGTAGTTTTTCCATTCACATATTTAAATTAGTTTCTATGTATATCGGGAAAAAAATAAATAATCTGTGAAAGGAAAGTATTATTTAATATTTATTATGCTTAATTAGTGAAACTTATGTTTAGTGGATTACTAATATAATATTTTTATGTTTTTTTGGTTAAACATAATGTAATATTTTTGCACAAAACATTGCTCCGTCACTCATATGATTAAAGTTTGAGCTTTTATACTCCCCGTCCTGAAATTATTGTCCACTTTGAATTTTCACATTTAGTTTAATTTGTATTAAAAATGAAAATTCAAACTGAACAATAATTTCAGAATAGAGGAAATAAATTTTTATTCAAAAGAGATGTATGTTTGCAATGCTATACTAGATACTAGACGTTTGATTTTAACTTTAAATGTATCCTTAACGTGATTATACCCATTTACTGTAAAAAAAAAAAAAGAAAAAAAGAAATCATGAACAAAAGAGTTAAAATGATAATGAGCTTCATTAACAAATTAACATTTTTGAAACTATATAATCATACTCTCTCTGTACTAAAAATAATCTACATTATATTCTAAGAATTGTACTAAAAATAATACAATTAACTAATTGTAATGCGTAGTACAATATAATGCCGGTAAATTAATAATTTTAAATATTTAATATTTTTCTCTCATCTCAACTTGGGACTAGAACAAAAAAATGAACAAAATTGATAAAATAATAAGATAGTATGTTTCATAAATTCTCTTAATAATTATATAAATTAATGAATATCCTAAATAAAACATTATTATTATAAATATTTAGTAAATATGAATTATTGATACTTACTTTTTCAATCCCTAAAGATAATAAACTAAGTATGGATTTTAACATCCATGAAAGTTTCAAACATGCTTGAATCGGATTGTAAAGATAATTGAAAATTACATAACTTAGTAAGTGTTCTTCTTGCCTTAAAGAAACTCTTTAATTTATCTATCATTGAATAATTTTTCAAAATTAATAAATTTTGGTAATCCTTTAATCTTAAAAACTTTTACTATATTTTTCATAGGCGGAGGGAGTAATTTGTGTAATATACCATTAAAAAATATCAAAATATAATTTAAGTGTTTCAGAATAAGAGTTTTGTTTGTTAAATTATTTTAATCAACAATACATACATTCTTTTTATCATACGAAATCACGTGTTAGCTCATTCATTGATATATGGAATCTAATCTAAACTATTATTCTCTTCATCCAAAAAAAAAACAAAAAAAAATGTTTGTTTCTTATTTGAAAGAACGAATTTCTCGTTGAACTTGCTGAAATTCAGTCAGCTCTGATTGATAAAAAAGCTCGGAATAGAATTTTAAGTTTGGACATCCGAAACTTGGGACTTTGAGTGGGTAGCAACAACATGAGCTAAACCGTTCTTTCTACGAGGGATCCAATACAAAGCCGAAAAATTTACCTCTACTAGTAAGGACCTAATATCCAAAAGGATTGGAACACAAAGCAAAGAACAACGGCTTCTCGGGCCGTTGCCAAAATTGCAACCGAAGAGTCACCTAGTACGGTAGCATTTCGGATGTTTAGGTCCTTTAAGACAAGAAGAGCTTCTCTTCCTTCAAAGCCATGAATTCAGCTAATTCAGCGGATTGACACACCTTTCTTTTGCTAGTTGGAAACCACCATCCCCGTTTTGAACATAAACACCAAGACCAAGACAATTTCTCGTTTTTGAAACCGCGCCATCAAAAAAGATGCATTCCTTCATGTCCTTTGGCGGCAGTAAGTGGCAAGATCGAAGTGACGGAGGTGATAATTCCTGATACTCCCTTCATTTCAAAATAAGTGTCGTTTTAGCAAAATGAAGAAATTTCAAAATAAATGTCGTTCTTACATTTCAATACACTTTTTGTCCAAAGTTTTCAAAATTATCCTCGAAAGAATTAATACTATTGGTGGACATTTTTTTAGTGGGGTTGGTTGAGGATATTGAAGTAATTTTATTACCCTATTTAAAAGTTTCTTAAACTATGTACAAAGTATAAGATAATACTTATTTTGGAATGGAGGTAGTAACAATTAGGTGTTTGGAACTCCCGCAGAAGGTTGATTGCGTTAGCAGCCAATACTTGTGCTGAAATCTCATGATCACCAAATAAATGATGGTTCCTGGCAAACCAAAGGGCATTGCAGATAACCCCAAAGTACTCGCCAGCAGCTGTATCAACTTTTAAAAAGCACCTGTTTAACCCATAAGTCCCAACGAGGCTGTTGGAACCTAAGAATACAGTCCCTAAGTCCTGCTGCTGACCATGTTTTTTTTAGTTTTCAAATTTGTATTAAAAATAATATTAATTTCGAAATTTAATGTAAATGAATTTTTGGGACAATATATAGTAAACTTACAGAGGAAGACCAATTATTATTAGAGGAAGATTTTACGAGTGTTCCAAATCTGATCTGATCGCCCAACACTGGTATTTCTGGTATCGATTCTGGATCATCATCAGGTCAGGTTGATAGGTTTTTGGTTTTTTTTTTTTTTTTTCACAATGACAATACAGTCATTTTATAAAATAAAATGAAAGTTTTGTTTAAAGAACAAGTTTTAAAACTCTTTCATTAACGAGTCATTCTAATTCACAAAAATGTTAAAACCGAAAAATAAAAAGAAAAAAAATGTTAAAACCTATTCCAGAAATCTTCTCCTCCGATAATGTCAAACAAGACTTTAGAAATGGCTTCTGCTCAAAACGCTAGCCTCTTCCAGAAAGTAAACATCTTAAACAGGAAAACGATAATTCGAAAAAACAAAAAGGAAAAACGGAATAAAAAAGAAATTGTAGTACATGGTGCGTCATCCCGAATGGTCAATTCGCTATTATGAATCCTTTAGCCGTTAGGCCCACCTTATTTCTTTTTTATGATTACCAAAAATAAGTGGCTCCTTGCTCTCTTTCTTTATCACACACCTAAGCTGCAAAGCCTAAAATATTATTATATCATTTTGCCCAACCAAAAAAAGGTAGTTGCAGAAAGAATATTTCGAATTAAAAGTTGGGGACCCAAACGTTGCTTTGTGTAGTGAAATCAAACGGGTTGAACCGTATGGTTTCAAGGGAATTCAAACGGGGTTGCTGTTTGATTATCCGAATTGAGTTTAAGTCATTTTGTTTACAAGAGAATTCAAGAGTTCGAGCCTTGCTAATTAGTAATTACCCACATTTTTATGCATCAATCAATGGAATATAATGTAGAAAGAGGGTGCCAAATTGAGGAGAAAAAGAAGAATTCTTTCCACTTCATGATTCAAAGTTGGAACAAAGCATAATAAATACAGCAATCACTCTTGGATAATTTACAAACACATACTGAACAAAAGTAAAGGGGTTTTTAACTTAAAAGGCAAAAACAACAAAAGGAAGAAAAGATTAAAATGGAGATTTAACACATGGTGAAGATGATGATGATAAGTCTGAATGAAGCTGAAGAGGAGTAGGATGATCTCTCAAAAGGGTCTTAAAACTTGTTCCCCTTTCTTTCTTTCTTCCCCCCCTTCTTCTTGCTCCTTTAAGACCTGCTCTTGAATGGGATGGCTCTGATCACAATCTGGTGGTAAATTGCAGCAAGCCCAGCTCCAATGAATGGTCCAACCCAGAAGATCCAGTGGTCATCCCATCCAAGGTCCTTGTTGAAGATGATGGAAGCTCCAAGACTCCTGGCTGGGTTGATGCCGGTTCCGGTGACTGGGATGGTGGCCAAGTGAACCAAGAACACTGCAAACCCGATTGGGAGGGGAGCCAAGATCTGCAACATCCAACACAGATGCATAAGTACCAAGGAAGAATTCCAGGAAAAATCCAATCAATGCAGATAACACAATATACTGTTTTCAATGTAATCCTTGGGACAACACATGGGTTCATGGTATCCTAATTAGAAGATGAATACAAAAGAAAGGCAAGTTCTTCAACAGAAAGTGGTCTGAGACTAAGCAACAAAAGTAGGTTGGTTTACAGTGATAATTAGACAGATGATTATCAAAAAGTGGACTGATTTTTGAGGATTACCATGGAAAACAACAAAAGTGCTAAAAAGCTAAGGCCATTATACGTTACAACAATTCACATGCTAGCATGTGCGGAATCACTTTGCTTGACCAAAAGTTATACCAACCAGCCCAACTCCCAAGACCACCCCTGAAGAAGTAGTATTACCCCCATTCCACAATGTCCAGGTTGAAGAGTAAAAAACAGAGTCCCCAAATATTGGTTCCCAGTAATAGAAATTACCACAATTATTGAGGGAAGATCCAATAAACCCGCAAGGGCAACAAACCATCAAGATACAAAAAATCATGTTATGATTGCTAACAAACAGTTTATCTGGAAGTAAATTTCAAAAGCTTCTAAAGAAACTTTCCATGACAGGCAAGAAAACCAGAGCAGTAAAAGAAAACCAGGAAATTCACAAGGAAAAGACTTCAGGCCATAGAGAGAGCAATAGGAAAGAGACCCATCACAGTTAATGCAGAGAGAAAACCAGAGCTCAATAATGTAAACAGAGAAAGCTGAACCAAAAAAAAAAAAAAAAGTCAGGGAAGACAAAATACTTACAGGAACATGTGAGTCTCTGGCATTTCTCTTGGCATCAGTGGCAGAGAAAACAGTGTAGACAAGGACAAAAGTTCCAATAATCTCAGCACCAAGACCATCACCCTTGGTGTATCCGTGAGCAACAAAGTTGACTCCACCGTTGTGGGCTTCATATTGGCTCTTGTTGAATCCCTTGACGATTCCAGCACCACAGATGGCACCAAGGCACTGCATAATGATGTAGAACACAGCCCTGGTCAAGGACAGCTTCCTGGCAAGGAACAATCCAAAGGTCACAGCTGGGTTAATGTGTCCTCCTGTTTTGACAAACACACAGACACATAATTAAACACAGATCTACTTCATCCGACCTTTAAAAACACCATAAAAGATTTTAGTGCTGTTTGCAAACCTGAGATACCGGCGGTACAGTAAACAAGGGCAAAGATCATTCCACCAAAAGCCCAAGCAATTCCTTGAATACCCACAGAAGCACACTTGGACCCGGCTCTGTTAACCCCCATAACAGTCAAGATGGTGACATACAAGAACAAGAGGGTGGCCATGAATTCGGCAATGCCAGCCCTGTAGAAAGACCATGAGGTCAATTCGCCGGGCTCAAACAGAGGAGCCGGTGGTGGTTCCTTGTAATCCTTGTCGGATTGAGCAGCTGTTCCCAAAGGCTGGGTTTCCCTGAACTTGTTTGCTCCCAGCTTCACATCTTCTTCCTTGTGTTCCGCCATTTCTGCTTTCTTCTTTTTTTCTGGGTGCTCTGCTTTTTGATTTGCCTTCTTCTCTGCCAAACTGAGTGATAAGCTATAGTAGTAAGTGTGGTGGGATTGGATAGGGTTGGGAGCTAGTTTTATACTACTGAGAAGTCATTATTAAATTTGTTGGCTTCTTTTAATTTTTTTAATTTGAAATTGAAAGAAGAAAAAAAAGGAAAAAACAAAATGCCTGGGTGGCTGGGTGGGGTTGGTTGTATTGTAATGTGTCTGTACTCTGTATTCTGTTCTAATTATTAAGTCCTTCCTCTTTTTCTCAATTGCAAATTAACCTTTTTTTAGAGGACAATTAGTCTACTAACTATTGGATTAAGTGTACACTTGCAATTTCAATTATCTACAACAGCCCCAGGTTTGTCATTGCATCAATGAGTCATCCCCAAAATTGAGTGCTGAGATTGTCAAAAACTGAGTCCTATAAATTTAGAAAATACAACTACAATATAATTTTCTTTACTAGATGAAACGTTTAATTTTGTATTTTTTTTAAAGTGATAATCAGGTCGTATCTTATATATTATATCCATTTCATTATAGACGGTTCAGAGAAATATGATTGTTTCGTTTTATAAACCAAGTGTATAATTTTGCCAGGACCGAAAACGGAATATGCTAGTATAACCATGGCAATGATTAGGGAAACAATTAGTGTATTTGTAATTTGATTAATTGCAAGGTAGAGTACCTTCTAGTTGGTTAGAGAGGCATAATCACTATATTTAAGTAAGAAAATTAGGATAAAAGCTGAAGAGTGTTCTGGAAAGGGCAGAAAAAAGAGGATGTTGACAGGCTATTGAAATTGGAATTATATGGTGTTCTTATCTGCTACAGAGAACAGAGTGTCCCAATAATCATTTCTCTTTTTCCTTTTTTTTTTCCTGGACATGACCAATTACAAATGCATCAGTATTAGCTGTTATGGGCCATTTTAATTTACCTAATCATAATCTTTGATTAAGCAGAAGATGGGCAGCTCAGCACAAATATTTCGAACAGATTTTTTTTTTTAATTAATTGGGAAAAGAAAAAAGAATGTTGGGAATCATGTATAGTATTTTAAGTGATCCGTTCCTTTTATTTTTAATAATGTTTTTGATTCTGGTCGTCTTTCGTTGTTATACTTTGAATTGCTTATTTGTCTTGATTGTCTCTAAGCGCCTGCTTTCGATCATTTTTAACTTCTAAATGATTATCGTTATAATTAGGCATTGATTCCACAAAATTTTTATACTAAAATATTTGTTAGGAGCACGAAAAATGTTGCCCTCCGAGATGGAGTTCTAAGACATAATTATTTATCCATATTATCAATAGAAACTAAATTAGGTACTTACCAAGGGTCCTAAGAATTTTTATGACAATAAGGTAAAAAAAGGAAAACAACTACAGATTTTGAAAGGTCTTTAAAAAAAAAATGAAGGTGGATTATTTGATAGTATTTCTTTTAATTAACCATCAATATTGATAATATTATCCTATTTTCAAATGAATGTTATAATAACGACATTAAATAACCGTAGTGTTACGTAAGTCCGTGGAACTTGAAGGCTGAATCTGACACATTCACTAATACAAATTCATTTATTTAACCTAGTTTTTATTGAACTAGAAGCTGACTCGTTCTGTTTCTGTGTACAAATGAATAGTTAGCAGCTCTACTTCTACTTCTACTACTGCTAGTGATGACTAACGAGATGTTGGACGGTGCCAATTTTTCCACATTTCCATGTATTTGGCAAAACGTTTATCCTCATCTAGGATTAAAAGTCAAATTGGAGTTAATAGTTTCTGCCTCCCAAGGTGTTAAACTCTATAAATCATGCCTGAAACGGGAAAAAAAAAACTGAGAAATTTCGAAAACATAAACTATCCTTTAAAAAAAATAATGAAATAAAAGATCAAAAGAACAGTGACGTGTAACTTTTATATATATATATATATGTATATATATATAACAAGTATAACCACCTTCTCAATTAATTATTCTAATTTTTACAGGATTTAATAAAACACAAGAATCGATTTAGTGATCTCTCGTCTACAATTCTATCCTAAGTTTTATTTACTTATTGTTTTTATTACTTGAACGAATTGTTTAATATAAAGTTTTATATGATGATATTGAATAAAGATAGATGGAAGATAACGACTATTCATATAAGAATTACCTCATTAAGATGGATGTAAAATTAACTTAAGTGAAGTAAATAAAGGAAAAAGTGTCATTAGGTAAAGGTGGGGGAAATATTTTTGCATTTCTATTAAAATAGGGGGAAAAAATATCAACCACAAAACGAACGGAATGCCAAATCGAGTGAAGAGAGAAGCGGAAATGAGAAAAGAAAAAGAGCCGTTTGAGTACGTGACCGTTGCAGAAAGTGACAGGCTTGAATAAGCATGTGGTTCATAAGCCCCACTCCTTCCAACGGCTACGATTAGCCCTAAAATAGATCGTAGGCTCCACATCGCACTCAACATGACATCAATCCTCATGGTCCCACTCCCACCTATATCATCAAAGGAAGAAGATTTGGGACTCCCCCATGGCCCATGGGTGCTAACTGCTAACATTTTGATCATTACACATCTGAATTTTGCAATGTGTTTCTACTTTCTAGTAATATGTTTTTGTGTTTTTTGCTTTTGTTAAAAGGAAGAAAAACACAGTACTCAGAATTTAGGTGTTTGATTTATATTCTTAATAGAAATATAGTATATAAGTAATTTCACTCAGGAAACACCTGCAAACTAATTTAGTGATACAACGAAATAATCGTTAATTTTGGTCTCCAAATGATTGTCTTGATTTCAACTAAGGGTATATGGAACTTCCCTTGATTTGCAAGTAATAAAAATGGGCATCACATCATTAAGGTTAAGGAGAAACAAATAATAATTAGGTTATGGAAATTCATGATGGGGGAGGTAAAAGGTTAATTTATGAGGCACTCTTTTGATTATGAAAAGCTAACAACACCCCTCTCACAAATTGTATTGGGCTTATTTGGCCAACATTTTGTTTTAGTTTTTGTTTTGGTTTTTAATTTGGGTTTGAAATGTGATTTAAAATGTGATTTGAGATAAAATTTAAAAAGTTGTTTGAGTGATATTTTAAATAAACTAATAATATTTTTAGACCACCACCGGACCCCTCCACCACCGTCGCTGCTGTCAGATCGCCTGCCACCGCCGTCGGACCGCCGCTGGCCGACGACCAGCCGCCCAAATTCTGGCAAACTCACCAGAATTTGATCGGAATCCGGCCGGCCGGTCGCCGGCTGACAGTGGTCCGGCGGGTACCAGTGGTGGTGGAGGTGGTCCGGTGGTGGTAAATGAAAATTGTGTAGAAATAATTTTTGGAATATTTTTTAAAAGGTAAATTAAAAAGTTGTTTGGATAGTATTGTAATTTGTGTTTGAGAGATATTTTAAGAGGTAAAATGAGATAAAAATGCAAAATAAGTGTCGGACAACAAGTCCAATTTGTCTCTTTGTGATGAAATATTAAACTATAGGATTAAATTGGGGGTTTTATAATCTAAATTAAGCAAAAAAGTGAGTGCCATGATGAAGAAGCATATACCTTTGGGGCCATACATTACCACCTGCTTTGCTGTTTACTCATGTTTGTCGTTTCAATAGTTTTGCTAAAATTTCAATAGCATCATCATCAACAAGGACAAGCATAATGAGTATTATCCCTATTATCCGTATTCAACTTTTCTTTTTTTTTTTTTCTTCATATTTTGGGTCATTTTTCACCACAGTGGACTGGCTTGCTTTTTACCCTGTTGCTATTTCTCTAATCCGAGTTTATTTAAGCAGACTCAAGGTTTAGAATTGCGTTGGATTTGACTGGGGACAAGTCAAATTCACAATTGAGAAAAAAAGAAAAAAGGGAGGATCCAAAGAATTGAGGACATAAAACGAGACAACTCATGCTCATAAGGATCTGAATTGGCCATCTCTCTCTCTCTCTCTCTCCATTGCGAGAAAATTTTGCCAACTCTTTTCTTTCTAATTGCTCATCACATGCATTTCACATATCTTTGAAGTTTGAACCCCACTTCTGCAGCTTTACTTTACTCCTACTTCGCTTTCACCATTCTCCCCAATTCATTAATGTTTTTCGTTTTTTTTTTAAATTTTTAATTTCCCCTCAAATTTGGTTTTATTTTCGTAATATATGGAAAATTCCACTACTATTGTTTTTCCTTCTTGTTTGGGGAATTTCTTTTTTCCCTTTTGTTTTGTTTTCATGGAAGTTGTCACTCTGCACTTTCGTGATTTGTTGTTGTTGTTGCAGATAGAGAATTACGTTGTGTCGGATGGGAAAATCATTGGCCAAAAAAAAAAAAAAAGGGACAGAATTTCCACACATTCCGAATTTTTTCAGTGAGGAATAGTGAAAAACATGATTCACATTTTTAACATTCATGTAAAAAAGGAGAAAAGAAGAAGAAGAAGAAGAAGTAGAGAATCACAGTTTCCATGGACATATTATGGACATTTTGTCCTATTTTATAAATTTTGTTGCTACTCTGCCTCAGAGAACTTACATAGTATGCAACCATTAATTGGTACGAGATTTTCAAATATAATTATACCATATTGCAATATTTTGGAAGCACTGCAAAAATGAAAAATGTATTACTCATTTCCACTAAATAAAATAACCAAAAAACAAAAAAAACAACAAAAACGGGACCTCATAGTTTTAAAAATGAAAGTTATCTCCACGGCCGTGATTGACCTTTTTAAAGAGTATTAGCTACGTGAAAATTAAATACTTCAACATAAACCAGATTAAAAAAAAAAAAAAAAGAGTTGTTGATAATTGGAAGGCTGATGACATTGATCATAATAAGTACAACGTATAAAGAAGCAAAATGTAACATCACCAAACTTTGGGGAATATTATGATTTATGAAACTACTATGATCATCAACGATTTTGTATTGTCCTTGGCTGCGGAATAATAATAACACACATTATTCAAATACTGCACGTCAACCGCCCAAACCTCAGTTGGGTATCCACGTGTACGGTGGTGACCTCACAATCTCCTCAATTTTCAAGCCTGATTGGTCCTCATCCGTCACCTTAGCAAGCCCAGCCGACCATTTTATAGTTTTTTTTTTTTAATAGTTAGCCTTATTGAATTTGAAAAAAGAATTTCGGCTACCGCATTGGAAAAAAAAAAAGAAAATTGAGGCTTTTGAACTGATAATGAAAATGAAGTTTTTTTTATTGGAATTATTTAGAGTTATAATGTTTGTGGTTAAGATAAGAGATTAGGATTACGATTTCCAACAGCTTTAATTTGTGGTGTTTTGATCTGTCATCGTTTTTTGCATGGTCTATTCTATTATGGTCACAATCACGATAATTATTGAATTTTGAGAGACTTTTGACTCACTTTTATTTTATATTTATTTATTTATTTTTTTAAAATGAAAATGTTAGTAGTAGTAGTAGTAGAAGAAGAAGTATGGATGGAGTTCCACGTCAGAGGTGGCACCGTTATTCCAATCACGATGATTTGGAGTTTTAGAATGTCGGATGGGGGGGGGACCCATCCGTGACCATTTTCCTTTTAAACAAAACCCTGCATTAATGTTCTAAAAACAGGAATTTATTTTGGTGTTATTTTGTCAAAAGAGTCATATTCCAGGCATTATCTCTCAGCTTTGGGGAGCATTGGATGCCGGAGGATCGTTGCGGAGGTAGACAATCAAATATCATGGCCACGGAGGATCATTGGCTTGAATGTTGGCATTGTGCGTGGGATTCAAGGTTTGATGGGGGGCAGGATTGGGAAATTGACCTGAAACATGAGTTTCGATAAGTAAATATTTTGTAGAATCGGTAACTGCTCTTTATTATAGGGGCAGTATATTCCCATAATACACCTTTATAAAACCTAAGGCTATTATGTTTGTTTCGTTTTTATTAGTGTATGTTTTTAAGTGTTTTTTGTATTAACAATGTAACAAATGTATTGAAAATCTAAAAAGGTATACTGAAATGGGACAGTTAATATTTAATTATTTTAAAATTACCATAAAAAACAAGCCAAACAAAGCCTAAACTTCTGCCAAATGATTGAGGCTACCATTGGCTAGCTAGCTCACTGAAACAATGTGCTAAGACTGCAAGTGTGCAACTGAGCGTCATGAACTCCTACCAAAGTGTACATATGTTTTTTTTTTTTTTCCTCGAGTTTTATTACTTCATTCGTCCCATTTTAGTAATCTACTTCTTGAAGAAAAACAAAATACAGAAAAGAAGAAATAAAAAGTTATCCCGTATAGAGTAATCACTCACTTCATTTTATTGAGACGGAGAAGATCTTTTGACCACTAAATGGATTCAAAAAGATCAGTACATATTCTTGCGGGGAGTCACTCTAACTACTGTTTCTATATTTTCTAACAGGAAATTTTCTCTGGCTGGAAAGCCAAATTTACATAATGCTTTGTAATGTAGGTCTTTTTAAGGAGAGGACTAGGGCCCAATGAAAGAAAAGAGGCAATAGTTAAGGCATAATCCTTGATTAGTTTTCTTAAATCGTTCGATTACCTTTGTTTGATGAGGATATTTGATAATTCAATCCACCGTTAGGATGTTACGACTCGTTAAAGAAAGTAAAAATAAATCCCAAAGAAGTTTATCACTGAATTTGAGAATTCATTCACCGTTCTTTAGTCCTAAGCAAGTACTTGAGTGACGGTCCATTCCTTTGGGCTGAATTTTCACTAAATGATGTTGTGGGCTAAAACTTGAAGAAACCATGGGCTCGTCAGGGCTGACAAGGTTAATGTGGTAAAAAGTATATTTTTTTATTTATTTATGACTCCTTATGTCCTAAAATTATTGTCCACTTTGTATTTTCATTTTAGTTCAATTTTTATACTAAAAATAAAAATTTAAATTGGACAATAATTTTGAGACAGAGGGAGGATTTGTTAACAACAAGACACACAAGTCTGGTAAAAAAGGATGAAGAAAGGTTTTCTATTGAATGTTCCAAGTTGTGACCTTAAATAGGTTGCCGTTCGATGTAAGAGTACATTGTTTGTACTAGGCAAAAAACTCGAGCTATAATGTTGTAGCAATTTTTAGGCACTTTGCCTCCGCAGTATAGACATTTAAAAGAATGGTTTTCCGTCCCCCAAAAGAAGAAAAGGTCTTATATTGAAGACATGGAAAGTACTCAGATCCTTGCTTGGAAACTTGCCACCAAAAGGCTGCACAACACAATAGAAAGAATGCCTTTGTTTTTCTTAAGGTTCTTTTAACTTCTTTTCTGAGTTTCACCTGGGCACATCTGGGGTTAGTTTTGTTTGCTTGATAGAGCCAAACACAAGTTGAAAGTAATAATATTGAAACAGTTGCATGCTTTTAGTTGAGTAAACTGTTGCAATCTGCTCTACTTCCAGCAACTTTGTTTTTCTACCATGAAGAAATCATACGCATTTTCCTTCCTTTCAAGAAATATCACTACGGCTCACGACATTAGAATCTACAAACTAATTACAAATTAGTTATTTCACAAAATGAATTAGTTGAAGTTATTACTAGATAGACTCAAGACGGACATGAGGGCAGACCCTTTCGGGTTCCCCTATTATCCATAAATTCTTCAGATCACCTCTCCTTAAGCCCAATGCGACAAAGGTACCTGCATAAACATCAATTCATTTTGAGATTGAGACATGTTACATAAAACTTGGGGTTTTCGAGAAATATCAGATACATAAACATGTGTTTCCTTCGAGATATTTACCAAGAGTAAATGGAACAATGTATAGGAGAGCTGGCTGGCCATGGCCATCCATCAGGTTCAATGCAATGTAGGTAACAAGGAGACCTGAAATATGGAGACATCATGTCCCGATGAGCATGGAGTGTTCAAAGTTTCAGGTATAAATGGATCAGAAGTACAATCAGAGGACAGCGTAAACATGGACATGCTCAAAGTTACCTAATCCGTAAGCAATCATTGCCCATAAGAAGTAACCAGCTTTCAGTTTTTTCTTTCCAAGCCAATCATACCTGCAGTGCAAATTGAGCTCGTTGAAAAAATTACTAACCAGGAACAAAATAGACACTGTACAATGTTGTGAAGTATCATTCTTGCAATGCCTAATAAGTTATTAGTAACCAACAGAAGCAATGACAAGAAATTCCACACAAGTTGTAATACTAACCAAATAGAGAAAATTATCGCATTCCAATGTTCAGTCATTAAGTAATGTAAAAAAAAAGATGTAATTAAGTACTGTCATTTCTGAAGGTATTCGAGAGATATCATTCACAATCAAAATTCACTAATTAGCAATGTATCTTGACATAAAGTTACTTCATTTATCATTGCTTATGTAGAAGTTCTCCCACCAAAGAGGAAACTAGTACATTTCGCAAAATTGGCGTATCTGAATGGAAACTTGTGCTAAAAAGCAGAACCTGAGTGAAAATGCTATAAGCAGTCCTGGAAGAAGAATGTCACCAAATCCTATAATGCTGTAACCACCCCAAGGATCAAAGAACCGTGGAATTTTCAGAAGCATTGGAATACCGGATCCTCCAGTTTTATAACCTTGAGCTACCTGAAAAGACATTCATCAACGTTGGAAGCAGACTTTCTTTTGATTTATGGTCAGCATAAAAGACCTTCTAAAATTCAACTTACCACAATCATCACACTTTCTTGGAACAGCTTCTTTGAAAAGAACACCCAAAAGATGTCGTACAAGAATGCACAACATAGAAGAACTGTACCCACCTAAAATATGGAACAGATGGAATGTCACTGAAAATAAACTTGTCACACAACAAAGTATTTTGCCAAATTGAAATTCATATTACTTAGAAAATAAGCACATACAAGCTACTTAAGCAAATTATGATAAACCACGAGAAAAGGAAGTTAAACATATCGTAGAACGTGATTCAACTGAGTGAAAACATGATACCAGGTGATCTAAGAAAAGTAAGGAAAATCTTTCTCAGTTATAATGCCACACGTTAGGTACAAAGAACAAGAAGAAATTAATCTTAAGGGCAATGTATTGTTATATTTGAGTTTGAGATTTGAGAGATACCTTGAGGTTAGGCACACGTACAATCTGCAGGACAGTTATTATCAATGCAATTCCCTGACAAATAAGAGCAAAGACATTATATTAAAAATGAATGAATTAATTATATAAAAGCAAATAGATCAGCATCAAATGAAGCCTTTTCAGCATACATATGTGCATATGTTGTAGCTCAGCAACATTCAGCCCGTCAGAGGAGAATGAAAATTAGTGAGAACAGAAAGCATCTTTTCGTACAAAATCTTTATCACTTTCTAATATAAAGACATGGGACGAGACATTTGAAGGAATTCCTTCTGAAGAATAAATTAGTCAATATACATATACTGGGTATATTGTTGTTGTTGTACATATAGACATTTAGTGGCAGTAACTATAAACAATTTAAAGAACAATTTCAAAAGCAGCACTAGAGGACCAAAAATTCTTACTAGGATATCTTGACCTATCCAGCCAAAAGAAGCATTTCTGTACACAGCCCAGAGTACAGCAAAAGCTATGCAGAATGGAGCTACAACCAATGTAAGATATGAAATTGCTCCTAATAAAGGAACTTTAATGAATGACCCTGCAGCACTTTTGAACCATCTGAAAATTCACATGACAGAATCTTCAGAACTTGACTAGTATCAGAAATTAGTAAACTGATAAAAAGCTCCAACAAGAGTACATAAAACAAAGAGCATCTAAAAGACACTATTGCATCAAGCCCCTTTTAAATATTTTTATGATAAGAGAGACATCTTTTGCATGTACAATGAAATTCTCTACATATTTTCTCACCCCAAACACCCTTCCTAACCAAATTTTAGCAGTTTTCCTGGAAGCGGAACTCCCCAAGAACACAATGTTTCACTCTCCTTTACTTCCTGTCGCATAGATGCCACAGTACCAACAAGTAATTTTATATTCTTGAAATACAACAAACGAGCACTTCCTTTTTCTTAGTTCTATCTAACAGCAATTTTTGGGAGATTGAGAATTCAAGAGTGCATCGTCATGACTCTCAAATATGGTACACATGCATAGCCTCTGCATTGTTAGCACAGGTTCTGCATTTGGAGGTAGAAAACGATGACGTGTTGGATAGCTAGATAAAACATGCTGCAAAGAAAAGAATGTACCTGGATACTAGTGAAACCAAGCAAGTCAGCATGCCCTGCAAATTAAAGATTAAATCAGAATCTAAAGAAGCTCTCAACAGATTAACTTGAGGAAAACAATGATAAGAGGGTAAGCTGAGGGCCTGTTAGATAAAATTAGAGCTCAATTCTGAAAAAAAAAAATGCTGAATTCATTAAGCAGTAATGGAATAAGCAATAAGCTAACTTTTATTGCTTATATTTTGTACTTCAGTTTCAGCACCACTAAATCCATTAAGGGGTTCACTTTTATCAAACATTCAGAAATGAAAAATCTCTTAATTGAATAATTTTAAGCGTTTAATTTAAAGCATTGCAAAGTACTCAGGTAGGGTGTTTAAGAAGTAGCACTGCCCACATGGGTTCATAAGTTTGTAACATACAGCATGTTAAGAGAAGGGGTGTGGGGTTTTGTACTGCAAACAAACGGTTGAAACTTTGGTACCAACACATGGGTAGTTCAAAGAAAGTGCGCTGATCTTGATGTACAGTAATGATGACAAACAAACCAAGAGAATTATTTCTTTCAAGTAGAGCGAGCCAATTATAAGTGAAACTAGTACATAAGAAATCGAGATGAGATGTACAAATATAGCAGCATATGGGGATAATGCACACCTCTGCACCACCGATGCAAAAAAGAACCACCAAGATATCCATGAACCACGCTGACATTAGCTTGTACAGCAAAATCAAGAAACATGAGGCAACGACTACAAAGAGAACTGCTGATATGGTGTTGATATCCATCACATAGCTAGTATGAGTACCCTTTCTGCTTGAGATTTCATCTGTAGCATCCTATAATAAGAAAAGGTTCATCATTATGAACACGGGCTTCTACAGGAAAGATCTCAGTGCAGTTGGTCAGATAAAAAACTAATTTTTCACCTTCAACAACTTGTCTTGTTCAAAAGCTTCTTCAGTAGCAGTCCAAGCTGACCAATAAGAAGCACATATGATGGTACCAACAGCAGTTAGCCACAAAAATACTTCCGCTACGTCTACAACTGGTCTTTCAGGAGAGTACAGCTGCACATAAACTACAAATAACAAATAAAATCCAATCAGGATAAATTGTTTAAAGACTCAATCATAGAATGGCAAGAGAAAAGATGGGTATGGGATACATAGATCCCGATGAAAATATAGATATGCATTTATTAATTATAGTTTCTGCCTCAGGAGTTAAGGGAAGGAGGTTAGTGGAACATATGCAATTCTTTCATTGTTGTGCACATAACAGTATAAGAATGTTTGTTTCAAAAGGGTGTGATGTTCCTCTCCCATCTGTTTTCTCCTTGCAAAACTGACAAAGAGACGATTCTGCTTTGTCATGGAGGTGGTCTATATGCAGTCTTGATTCTTACAGGAAATAATATTTACTTCTAATTTAAAAACACTCAAGGAAAGTGATCTAAAAAAAGCATCATATTCTCATTTAGCTCTCCCGTCAGAGATAGAGAGCTTCCAAACCATCAGCTAGTCAGACGATCAGAAATCATATCTAACCAATATAACAACAGTAACTAACATATTCTCTCATCAAAGATACTGCATCTCACGATAAAACTTGCCTGATGAATTATTTGACAGCATTTTCTCCAAGCTAGAACCAGCATCATGAGGGAGCATCACAGAAGGGATCTTAATGTCCAGATCAGTTTCATCGTCATCGCAGACCATCTTATAGAGTTCTGTGGCAGTAGAAGAAAGGCATGTAAGTCACATAAACAATACAACAGTTAGTCCATATAAATGACTTTGAAAGCTACCAATGATTAGGATAAGCAGATTATTGAATAAACATCAGCATATATGACGTCAATTGCAGAGAGACAGTACAAATAAAGTGCAAGACAACTAAATTGTTAAGAAACCATTTGCCCTGAAAATATAGACTAACACAAGGAAAACAAGAGAAAGCTTCAACACCGAATTTTTTGAAGACTTGGACAAACTAATATAGAAAAGATATCTAACCTTTCTGATTATTAACTATAAGAACTGCTGAAGCACCAGCAGCCTCTGCAAAGTTCGCTTTGACAGTAAATTTGCACTGGCCACGGTCCACCATGATGACATCACCGGAAAGCTAAAACAAACAAGTAGAGAACTTCCCTTAGCAAGTAAAACATAGACACAAACCATGACGGAATTCACAAACTTAAGGAGAGAACAATAACCTTGTTCGTTGGACGACTACAACATTCTCTAGGGTTTGAACGTATTAGGCGAGTCTGCTTCGCATATTTCTCCTTTGAAACAATTTTAGCTCCAAAACGAGCGCCAACACCAACAAATTCTGCGTCCTCTTTGCCATCAACCCAAGTCTGAATCTTAACCTAGCAGATGAAGGAATATACTAATGGTTATGTATGGTGAAACATAGCACAAACATTCCAAGTGATCATAAAGCGACGAGCAACTGTGGTTTCAAGCATCTGTTTTAGCCTTTCCCGGAGGAAAATTTAGGGTTGAAATTCAGCTATGAAAACATGCTTCAGCACAATAGCCAGTCCAACATAGAAAGTAAACTAAACACAGTAATCTTCCGCCATAACTGATCAAGAAAACAAAAATATGAGTAACTCCTGAATCGTAGGAAACTGCAAGAATTAAAGCGGGAAGCAGCTACCAGTTAGTCATTTTCTTCATAATCCAAATGTTCTCATAATCATTACATAAGGAAAAAAATTATGCAAGATCAAACACAAAAGCTGAGAAAGAATGAACAAATTCGACTCAAGTAAACTCAGAGATATGGCAGAGAAGAAAAAATATGAGGAGAAATCACAAAAAAGCCGAAACGGGTGGAGGATTAGATGAATTACCAAAACAAAGTCGTTCTCACAACCGGGTTTTTTGGGTGTCACATCATCCCGATGAACTATATCGCCGGCTGTAACCTTGGTTGGACCACTGAAAACCACCAATATGATCGCAGACACGCAGATTAAACTGCAAATTCTCTGGAAATCCATTGGAATGAAATCCACGAGCTTAGCTCCTTTAGATTTTATATATACTTATATAATGGAAAGGCAACAAACTAAGTTCCCCTGAACTCTGAACAGAAATGCTGTATCATGATTGACTTGAATGCATACAGGTAGAAGAAACAAAGCAAGACAGACCCCCCCAATCCCCCAAAGTCGTTTTTTCTTTATTTTTTCGTTAAATTTGATGTTAAATCCTTCTGGGTCTGTGGAAAAATTGAAAAAATTCGGAAAGTGACGGAATGATTAATTCAGAAAAGAAAAAAAAGGAAGAAAAAGAAATTGAAAATGGTGGGGGAATGAAAAAAGACTCTGTTCAGTTCCGTCCTCCCTCTAGTTGGGTTTGGAGTCCGTTGGCAGTTGGGACTGGGGAAGTATTTATCCCCCTCCGTGTCTTTCGACCGGATCAGTCAACGGTTGACTGATTTAGTATAAATCGCGGATTCCTAAAAAAAGGCGTGGTTTGGTTCAATTTTTGTAGATGACGCCTTTGATTATTAAGGAGAAAAAGGTTAGATCAATTTCAAACGTTCAGTTAATTTAAGAATACCACCTCTTTCTTCAAAAAAAAAATAATAATAAATAAAAAATTACCATATCTAGCAAATAATTCCAAGCTTTGCTCAAGGCAAGAATTACCATCCATAACAAATTCTTTGAGAACCAATGTTTTCCATTTCTTTTAGCTACCATGTATTTTTGTTAAGAACAGTTTTATGTTGTAGCTATTAAATATGTCAATTAAATATGTCAATTCGCAGGAGTGCTATTATTTATTAAAATCATGTTTAAACGATTTTTTTTTTGTTGTCAGTGGACGGATTGTGTAGCTAGCCTTTAATACGTAGTATGAGAGTTGGCATTGGTTGTAATCATATTTAACCTTCTTTTCTATCTAAAATAATTGAGTGGGGTGTTACATCAAGAAAACGGAAAAAAAAAAAAAATAATTTCGAGTAAGAAAGAACGTATCATCTTAGTTCTGAAAACAAAAAAATTTGTGAAATGCTTTACCCAAAAAAAAAAAAATGAAATTACTGTTAAAATTTTACCTTGTGCTTTCAAAAAATATACTGCATATATATATATATATATATATATATAAAGAATTCTTGGTTATTTAAAGGTGAATTTTTTAAAAAAACAACTGTAACTCCGGAAGTCATCTACAACTCTGGAAATCATCAAAGTCCTCATTTATTTTCTGGATGAGGTTTGGTGCACTTGCCCATATTTCCAATTCACCAAAAAAATTGTCTCTTTTGATATCACCGGAACCAGAAGATAAATCATTCCTCCATCACTGTCATTCAGAACATATGGCTTCTTCCAGCAAATCCCATAACTGATCCATCATCATTCATCCTCACATTTGCTGTGCTTTTGTAATTCTCCTGAGCTGATTGGCTACTGAGGTGGTTGAACCCATCATTATTACCAGACCATTGATGATGATGAAACGGTACCGGCAAAACAGAAAGCGTTCTTGAAGTTGTTTGTGAGCTTTGTTGTTGCATGTAAACCACCACCTCTTTTGATGAAGTGATTTGATCAAAACTTCCCCAGTTTTCTGCTGGCTGGATCCCTAACAAATGGTTATAATGCTCGTTTCGATCCGCCAATGAAGTATCTATCTCTGCAGCAGTACTACTGTTAGCAGCATTAGTCCTAGAATTCCCACAAAAAGAAGAATCTATCTGATCAGAAGCATTAGGAACATCTAATGGTTTCTTCACTGCAGCTACACTTCCTGATTTCTGTTTGCCTGCAGCGATTTTACGCTTTCCATTGCTTTGAGTTTCTCCTTTACTCAATCCCTTCTTATTGGAACTTTGATTTTTCCCTCCTCCTGGTTTGCTTCCAGATTGCTGCTGCACGGCTTTACTCTTCCTCTTCCTAGGTTTCGAAACTGGCTTTTTCGGGGAGGCCAATTTCGCTATCTGTTTCCCCATCTGCACCAGCATTTTCTTCCTCGCAACTTTGAGTTCCTCCAGAAGGGAATCAGTGAAGGTCTTGAAATCACTGAATATTGCAAGATCTTGATCCGGAGTGGATTCATTTACCTCCTTCCTTTTCCTCTTAACCCCATGATTTGGCTTCGGGTTCTTCTTTTTATCACCACGACCACCACCACCACCATTTCTTTTCTTTCCTGAAGGTTGAATTTGCTTTTTACCTTTCGCGACCCGAAATGGACCTCCATTTGTAAAATGAACCTTGCTGTAATTCTGTTGAGATGATTGGGAAAGATGATCAGTTGCTGCTTCATCCTGCTCCGGTGAACTCAAAACATGAACAAGCATATGCTTCCTTCCAGACGCCTCGTCGCCTGAACTTGACTTCGAATCATCGCTCATAGAATCAACATCATCATCTTTCCTTCTATAGTCCCATATCTGCTGAAATGTTTTGTCCATATTCATGATAATCAATCCAGGTTTGGATAAAAAAAAAAAACTTGGGGGCTTGAACTGCTGATTTTTTTCAGTTTGGATCAGACCACAATTCAGGAAACCACTAATGAATCGAACTAATACAAGAGAGCAGAAACCCAAATCAAAAATCAGTTCAACAGCCAAGAAATACAGAATCTAAGAACCCCACCACTCCCCAATAAATTATCTTGATATGTCAAACACCAGCATATCAACAAAACTCAATATCACCTCAATTACATTCTGACAGGAAAACGTAAATATACATTTATTAACATGAGCAGTCTTACTCCCAATTCAACTGAAACATAATACTAAAAATCCAACAATATTCAAGTGTGGGAAATTATATCACAAACCAGCCAGAGAAAACAAAGCTTGAAACTTTAATTTCTTAGTCCACGTTGAACATGTTCTTACCATCGTCCTTTCCAGGAAATAAAACTCAATCTCATCAATCTAATTCACTGTATGACTCAGCCTTCTAATCTAATCCATTTCTGTGATATTTCTGCACCTACATAATTACATTTATTGATATATAATCAGTAAAGGAAAATAAACAAGCGATATTTTGGCTGTCTGGGAAGTTTATCAGTAAAGGAAAATAAACAAGCGATAGTTTGGCTGTCTGGGAAGTTTCTATATTAGCAGACTTTTTTCTGATAATAATGGACTGGGAGAAGAAATCGAATAGTACTTCTAATCTAATGAGGCTTCTTCGAGAGTTCAAGTGAATCTGAATAACCTCTATATAACTTCTTAATTGCGTGCAAAATGAATCCATATAACTTCTTAGTTTCAAAAAACTTCCACTCCATTAGTGACCTAATACTCCATGCAACTGAGACGCCAAAATTTTCTGAGTCTACAAACGGGCTTTGCCACAGACTTCAAAAGCCAAAAAGCTAATAAGTTATGCATTCATTATACAAGTTCATACAACATTTTCCTTTACAAAATTGTAAGATAGTAGACACCAATGTTTCCTTGCATTACTTGAACTCAGCGGAAGGAACACCTGCAGTGGGGAGAGAATGAGAGGTAAGGATATATTTTCCATTCAGAAACAACCAGGACTGTGATATACTTCTCTTTCACCACAAGGAATTTGTGGGTTTAATTATTATGCATATGAATCATTCCAGGCCCTATTACTGAAGTACCTTAACGTTTGTGATGATTGTTGTACATACCTTTCACCTGTCTTAAGGTCATGTTTAACAAACTAACTACTAGAAATATACCTACACATTTCTTTTTCTTATATTTGTTTGTCCAAAGGCTGAATTGAGAATGCAGATCTGTTAAATGTCCTCACTGATCAGTCACATACCATCCTCTATAAACGCTAGCTTTCCCGGATCTCTACAGCCTAAAATCTTCCATACACTGAAGCTGTGGAACATAATGAAACCAGTTGAAGCCCCATTCTCCTTCAACATTGGCTATTGCATTCTCGGTGCAATTTTGGAAACCCCTCTTCCACGAGTATCCTTGCTCCACGCTCACATTGTGGGTCATCGGATAGTCTCACCAGGCTTCTGTATCCATTGCTATACTACACTAATGACTCTCTGGCAATCTGCAGCATATATTAAAGCCTCAATCACAGTTGTACATCACAATCTCTTATCACATAGTATAACACTGAAATAAAGTAAAGATATCCGACAGCCTGATACTTCATTCATCAGAAGGCCTTATGGGAATTGCAAGAGTGTATGCAAAAGAATATTTTTCAAATGAAACTAATGATAAGCCCAAATGCAGCAGAACCATACCTCCATGGGAATTCGCTAGTATCAATTCCAGCTTGGTGAAGCTCATCAACATACTGCAATGCTTCACGACATTCTTCCCGGTCATCAAAAAATTCCTTCTTGTCACCTTCTATCTGGTGGGTTTCATGGCCCTTTCCAGCAACAACCTTTGAGCAAATTTTGAACAAAAAATGAGCAAATAACAAATTTACATGAGAGACAAATATTTGCCAGCACAAATGATATAATGGTTAGGCAAGTGAGTAGCTTATAAATTTAATTCCCCAAACTTTGAATACATCATTCAACACAAGCCACAAGATAGTTACACTATTTATGCAAAATTGCAAAAGGGTGAGAGATCACACTACAAGAAACATAATATACAGTCAATTTTATATATTTTTTTTAATATAGCTTTACATTTTCACATCTGTAATATGAGATGGAAGTAAATTTAGGAAACCTTCCCATTTCTGAATTCTAAAAGTTGTAAACGGATGGGATAAGAATGATGCATAAAACTTACAACCACATCGCCTTCTTCACCCATAGCAACTGCACAGCGTACAGCTACCCGCCTTATGTCATGCAAGAAAAGCCTGTGGCCATTAGCAAGAGGCGGATAGTAATCATTCTCTCCATATTTCAAGTAATCCTGCATACTCCATCCAACACCAGCCAGCATATCATCCAATATGTCTACTGGTAAAAGCAAGAAAATTGTGTATCAGACTTGAGCATCGATGACTGAAGAAACCACTCAATGTTCTGTTATTCTATTTCACTTTAAACTATGTTTGGCAGCAAGATTAAAAAACACAAAAAAAAAGAAGAAGAAAAAGAAGAGGCTAAAGGTAGGGCTTTACAAGATCAATAAGTAGCTCAAAGGCTAAAAATGGATTTTGTGGAAAAACAAAGGGTGAAAAAAACAGGCAGCAGGAATGCAGGATGCTAATTACCACAGGATAGAGGATAACTTTCCTAATTAAAAACTTACATGGATCTTCATTCTTGGGATTATCAGACGTCAATATCGTCACATCACTCTTGTCCGTTGCTATCTTCGTCATAAGAGGTCTTTTTCCTCTGTCGTTTTCGCCACAACAACCAAAAACTGAAAGTATGTAAACTTAGTGAGTACATTTCTATCGGCAATACAAAAAAAGCAGTGCAGCCAGTGCTAAGTTAAGTACTCATACCAGTGATAATCCTCTTAGGACGAAGCTCCCTAACATAATCAAGTAATCTAGACAACGAATCTGGAGTTTGTGCCTGGTCAACAATCACCCCAAATGCCTGTTCCTCATCTATCAACTCACATCTACCAGGGACTGCATCAACCTCCTCAATCCCCCTGACAATGTCTTCTAAAGGTGCACCAACTGCAATGCCAACGGCAACAGCAGCAAGGATATTATAAATGTTATGCCTCCCTAGCAAACCAGATGAAATCTCCAAGATCCCTTGAGGTGTATTGACCAAAACCTGGGTCTCAAAAAGAGACAACTCAAATTTCAATGGGTGTACATCAGCATTCTTATTATCCACTGCAAATGTGACAACAGGTACATCTGTGCTCCCTTGTGCTATGAAAAATGCTGCATTTGGGTCATCAATATTCACAACTTTCCGATGGCGTTCTGGGTCAACCATCCTTGAGAACAACTTAGCCTTGGCGCTCCGGTACTCCTCCTCAGTCCCATTGAAATCTAAATGATCTCTTGTTAAATTCAGGAAAACTGCAATATCAAAATCAACCTCATCGGACCTACCTAGTGCCAAACTATGAGAAGAAGCCTCCATAACTAGAGATTCTGTTCCATTGTGAACCATTTTGGCCATCAACTTCTGAATTAAAACAGCATCAGGGGCTGTATCAGGAGATTCTAACTTATTATCCCCGTGAACATAATTCCCCACAGTACTCAACATTCCTGTCCTCACTCCCATTGCCTCGTACATCCCTTTTATCAAATACGAAGTAGTAGTCTTCCCATTAGTTCCTGTAATCCCAATCACTGACAAACTCTTTGATGGGTACCTGTAAAATGAAGCAGCTAATGAGGCAAGCACCGCATTAGTATCTTCCACGATAACCAAAGCTTTACATCCCAATGTCTCCTCGATATCTATCTCTTGACTTGCCACAATCGCAACGGCTCCTCTCTTATCCGCCTCAGATAAGAAGAGATGTCCGTCTGTATTTCTCCCAACACAACACACAAACAAATCACCACTCTCCACCAACCGCGAATCGTGCTGAATTCCACTAATTTCCACTTCTAAATTTCCATAAACAGATACAGGTACGACTTTACTCTCATCTAAAAGCTCAGCCAAACTCATCCTAAACTTAGGGTCAACAATTCTAGCCTTAGACTTACCCAATTCATCGAAATCAAGATCAAAATCAGAAAGTTCGCCATCATTCAATTGATCACTCACCTCAAAATCAGACTTGTCTGAACCATCATCCTCGTCTTCGCTCCCACCAAAAACATCATCCTCAGAAACCTCAGTCAGCCCTCCAAGCTCCTTGATTTCCTCCAAATCAACAACCTCTTCGGGCTCCAACTCATCTACTCCAACGTCAACATCAGCAGCAGCCTGGTTCAGTACCTGCCCAGCAGCTGCTTTCTTCGGATTAGGCTTCAAGAGCCCTTTCTTGACAAACTCCTTCCGTTTCAAGGCGAGAGCTTTATCAATCTCCCCAAACAAATCATCCCCACCGGAATCGTCATTGTTCAAGGAGGTGGGACCCTCATCTGGGTCTTCAATATCAGCAAGCGCATTGACGAAAATGGACTGGTTCTTCTTGAGTTCTTCCTCCTGGAGCTTCCGGGCTCGGGCAGCTTGGCGTTGAACTTGCTGGAACCTGTCGACTCCGTGCATAGAGTCTTCTGCAGCTTCCGGTGGGTCATCATCTGATGGGTTAGGATAATACTTTCCATCTGGGCCGATAGCAGAAAGAGCCGTGCCGGAGGTGGTTAAGAAAGTTGGTCGGAATCGGAGGGAGGTGAAGAGAATTGACGGCGGTCTACGGTGGGGATTGGAAGAGAGAGAGAATTGAGGTGGGAGGAATGGCAGGTGAAAATGGAAGGTTAGTGGCATTTTATCTATAATAGACTACTGTGTGTATGTGTGTTGGGGGGTTTTGAGGAGTTGGGGTTTTAGTCTGTGATGGTTCAATTGAAGGAGAAGAAGCGGATTGGCCTTTCTTTCCATTTCCATTTCCATTTTTTGGTGAAAACAAACATATTTTTTTTTTCAAAAATATATGCATTTATCTTTTCTATATTACAAATGATTATATTTAAGAAACAAAATTTATGCATTAATTATTTTTTTTAATGCGTGACAGTATATTTTATTGATAATGCTAATTAATTTTGCAGAGGTTTTGTCCTATTTTTTTTACATACTGAGGAAGCCATAAGGCTTGATTACATTTCAAAAGACCCTAGACGGGTATTTCCTAACATGTCTTTACACATTAAACTTGTAATCCTTTTTGGGGGGTTTACCAAAAAATGTAATCCCATGAGACTAGAGTGACCTAGACTAGCAATTTTATCGGCGGTATACTTTATATCTCTTGGCACATGTTTGATTTTTATATCTCAAGCTTTATCCGTTATCATACTACCAATTCTTCCTTGAAGTGTGCCTAGATACTCTAAGATGAATTGATCCTAGAAGAGTTCCACTGCCTCTAGGCTGTCAACTTTAACATTGACTTTGTTGTATCCCTTGATTCGTGCAATGTGAAGACCGTGGTATGTCCTACTTTGAGCTCTCTTGTACACACTTTATTAGACCCCTATGATTCCGACTATTTTTTTAACCTTGAATTAAGTCGTTGAAATTACATATTTTCTTTGTTCCAAAATAATTATACAGTTTGAACTTTTATTTTAGTTCAGTTTGCATTAAAAATAAAAATCTACATTTGACAAATATTTTTTTTGGAGGGGGGAGTATTACTCATCTTTGATTTACAGTATCAACATATGTGTGTGTGTGTGTCTATAAATATATATATTTGTATAATATAGTTGATTATTTTTCTTGTGACCAAAAAAAATAAAAAACTATACATTTAGTTTCCAAATTTTTGGCATTGGGTATGTTGATGTTGATTATTTGTGTCAAAGTTTGGGTTCTCATCTTAAAACCAATTGTCGATGAGTGAGATGACCTTTAGAGCTTATACACTGAGTCACTTTTCTTCACGCTGGCGATGTGGGACATATAATACACCTTAATACTCTCCCTCATGTCCAATGGGTCTTTGAATTTTTTGCCAAATAGACTTGGATCAGCACAAGAACAGAATAGCCTATGAGTCAACACTGTAATGGGAGAAGATCAATTATACCGCTGGACCGGTCCACAAAAAGTCCACAAGTCAACACTCAAGTGGGTTAATATAGAATCACCAAAGAGGCCAATAATCAGAGAGGGTTGGAGCTTCTTTGTGAACTGAAAGACGTGATTGACGTGATTGATGTGGAAGAGAAGGCGGCGAAAGGTGGCATGTTAGCTTGCCAGCCTTAATAAGTGTTTGAATTAATATATATATATATATATATATATATATACACACACAGATAGTTTAGAATCCCGTTGATCATTTTTACAGAATCGTCTCGTTTTTCCGTCAACCAATCAAAATTGAGGGTATAAGATATAAACATGGGGTGAATAACGTTATAAAATATCCTAAACTAATTGAGAAAATGGTCAATTTTGCCCAAAGCTTCAAGTATCTGGCCAATTTGATTCAAAAGATTTTTGGGAAGCCAAATTCGTCATCTAAATTTTAATTTCTAGCCAATTCAATCAAATTGATGAGAATTCTGTTAGATTTAATATTTCAACTGACATTCCGTTACATTGTTCAGTTTTTTTTCTTGGAAAAAAACTTTGTTTACCTAAAATTTTAGCATTTTATCCCTATTGTTTTGTTATTCAGTAATATAAGCTTGTCTTACCATTTAATTATGGACAAAACGTACTTTTGGTCCCTAAAGTACGGGGGTCACAACTTCTGGTCACCATTAATCTTTTACTAACAAAATCAGTCACCATTTCGTTTATTCAATAGTTTTAGTCAATTTAACAGTCAACTAACGTTCAACTCTTTTCTCCGTTAAGTTCTTTTATTTTTTTATTAATTTTTTTAATGAACTGAGACCCGCAATATATTTTCAAACAACAAAACCAGTCCACTAATATCTTTATTTTCAACAATTTCAGTCACTTTAGTAGAATTTCAAAAATTTAATGGCCCAATTTAATTTTCCTTTAAGTCTTTGTTTTTTATTGATTACTTAATGGATCGTGGGTTCCTTAGGTCCTTGATCAGAATGTTTTTTTGAAAAAATTATAAATCAAACGAATAATGATAATATTTCTGACCAAATTTCTAAACCCCAAATATTCTGCTCCCCGAGAAATAAAATTCAAAAAAAAAACAACAATGAAAATGATCAATAATGAGGCTCCTTTCCTGTGCTACTTTGCCGGCAGGGAGGTAATAGTGAGACGTTCGGGAACAGTACTTTGGGGTTTAGAAGTTGGTCGGAAATACTTTCATTATTCCTTTAATTTATTTATTTTTATAAAAAAATCTTATCAAAGACTTGTGGGATTCACAATCCATTAAGTAATCAATAAAAAAATAAACACTTAAACGAAAAAAGAATTGGGCCATTAAAGTTTTGAAAATTATCTTAAAGTGACTAAAATTATTGAAAAAAAAAAGATATTATGGGACTGATTTTGTTGTTTGAAAATACATTGAGGGTCTCAATTCAGTAAAAATTAATAAAAAAATAAAAAATTAACGGAGAAAAGAGTTGACCGTTAAATTTACTAAAATTACTGAATAAGCGGAAGGATGGTGAATAATTTTATCAGTAAAAGATTAATGGTGACCAAAAATTGTGACCCCCCATAGTTTAGGGACCAAAAGTGTGTTTTGTCCTTTAATTATTATAATTGTCCCACCACATAATTTATCTCCTAATCTAATCCCCTGCTCCCACCCTAACCCCCTTCCTTTTCTTCGGCCGCCGTGTGCCACTACGGCCCCATTCCTCTTCTCCCCTAAAAATTACCATCACCACTTCCTAAATATATGAGGATTTCAAACCATCACCACAAAAATAAAAATTTGTCTCCACCAACAGTACACAATCCTCCCTCCATCACTACCAGCATTTCTATTGCCGCCACATTTCTTCAATTCTATAAAAATTACAAAATACTTAACTTATTTTTCTATTTTCTTCCTTCTTCTTTCTAAAAGAAGTAATGGCCCTACCTCTGCCTACACCATTTGTCCCTTACCCACTTCTTCTCCATGGCAGCCCAACAAAAAACATTGCGGATATATGCTTATCTGTTTTAGCAGGTTGTTATTAAAATTTCTTTTCATCATTTCATTCTTCAAAATTTTTTATACCCAGAAAATATCCTTTTATATTTCGTAGGTGTCGATTTAGAGGGTAGCTTCATTTCATTTAGTAAAGACATTTTTCGTCCATTAAACTCAGTTAACTACTACCTTTAAATTCAAGGACTATCATTTAAATCGATTTACTATGCAGAAGAAGGAAAATTAATGCACCTACCTGGTCGTTAAGGCGGCCAAAGGTGATGATAGTGGTGTTGGCGGCTGGAGGTGATGGTAGATAGTAGATACCCACTTTTTTTGTATTTTTTTTTTAAGAAAATAACAAAACAATGAAGATAATGAAGAAATAAAATTGATGTTGGATAACAGAATCTCTCAAAATTAATAGAATAATTTGAGTTAATGACGACGTTTTCTGAGTCATTGTGTTGAGTATAGTAATTTTTGATGGCATTAAATTTTTTATAGTCACTTAAAATAATAATGATCACTAGATTAAGTAAATCAATTATATCCGTTAGATTAAGGAGGAAACATCATAAAAAAGATAGAGCCTCACACACAATACAATTTTTTAAATAACTGATGACTAACAACAAGTTACTTTGGCGGCCCGGACACCATACTTCTCCTCTATCTTGACAAGCTACGCTTCTTGCTTCTTCTGATGAGGCTTCTTGCTCATCTTGGCCTGCTGATAGTATAGCACAACCAGATACCAATTGGCAACATTAAACTCAGAAAGATGATCCACCATGTTTTTGGCATCATTGATGTCTTCATAAACAACAAAAGCGGTGCCGCAAAGTATCCTTGTTGGCCTAAGGCGGCATCCTTTGGTTAGCCTTTCTTACTGTTGCCAACATATTTTAGGTCGCCAGCGGTGCCTACGAGGGGTTTTGAAAGTGGTGGTCGGACGTAATTGAAAAGATTTTGGGAAATTTTGGGAATTGCAAAAATTTGGGAACCCAGTAATATATCAAACTTGTTTCTAAGTCATTGGTTTGATAGCATCACAAGCCGATCACCATCTCTTCAAGAACACAAAATTCACATTCACCAAAGTCAGAAGCAGCCAAAACCCATTCTCATCAAATTATTTCATTAAAATTCTTTTACACGTGGTGAAATTCTTATCAAGAGTGCTTGAAGAATTTCGCCGCTGCTGAGTGTGAAATAACAACGCAGAGATTGTATAGTTAATTTATTGTTGGAATTAAATTTATGTGGTGTGAGAAACTAAATATTTCATGATTATAAAATTTAATAAGAAAAGCGTTGCTCGAGATCCTCCGAGCTAATTTAGTAATTTTATCAATTCATGATTGCTCTGACAAAGAAAAATTCCTTGAGACTCGTTTAATGTTGTTCTGAAGGGGAAAAAAGAAAAGAGAGATTGAGATTTGTGAATAGGAAGAAAAATGTATGGTTATTGGTGGATATGATTTTGAGGGTGGTTTATGTCACGTGAACTTGATTTTATAGATGAGTAATTTTTGCATTTACCTTTTATGCTTACTAGGTTCTTGGCTTGGGCCGTTGGCCAGGCATACTCATTGTAAGTGAAGATTGAGAGTAATAGAGCAAAGAAGAGAGGATGAAGATGTAGTAAAGAAGATGCTTTGAATAATTTAAAGTATTTTTTTATTTGGTTAAAGTAATTATTTATGCAAAGTTTATCACAATTATT